CGAGTGCAGAGGGGAAGATAAAGAGAAATTGGTAAGTTGTAAGGGAAGCCTGGAGGCAGAAGATGCGGAGAAGAAGACCCCCGCAGTAAACCACCAGCGGGTCTAACCCAACGGGGCACTGCCCCTGTGGAGGATCGTCAGGCCGCTTTCCCCGTTAGTCTCTTGCTCTTCTTCCATCATCACTCCATCTTCTCGCTAGACTTAGTTGGCCACCGTTGATTGCCTGTATGCCTGTCTCTAGTACCTTTCGTTTTAATATGCGAGTCCCACTTCCCCTCTCTTCGACCTCGCGCCATATGATGTCAATGCGGTCGGTTCACAAACGAGGGTCGCGGCCCGGCTAAGATCCCAACGATTTTGGCCCGTATTCAGCCTACACAAGAGGGGTTACCGGAGGCAAGCCAAGGGGGGGATAAAATGCGTCACTTGCCCCCCCTTGTTTTGCGGGGAGGAATTCTACTCTGGACCACATTGGGTACGGTAGTACAGTACCAATTGCTCTGGGTCGGTGCAGCTTTTGCGGCAAGCTCTATCTAACCCAACATGAGGTTCTTAGCAGTCTGTGGTGCTGCCTTGCTGGCGGTGCACGCAGCTGGCGCAGCGGTCAAGCATCGCTTCAATGGCTTTACTCTCACCGAGCATCCTGACGCAGCGAAGAGGGATTTGTCTCAGAAATATGTACGTTGCTCAGCTAGAGACGAGACAATTGACATTGACTGACTGAGGGGAACAAAAGGTCACATGGGATGACAAGTCACTTTTCATCAATGGGGAGAGAATCATGATCTTCAGCGGAGAAGTCCATCCATACCGGTCGGTCATTCCACGGCTTATCTTCTGTATCGTTTCTGACGTATCGAAAACAGAATCCCAGTTCCCACCCTGTACATCGATATCTTCCAGAAGATCAAGGCTCTCGGCTTCAACACTGTTTCCTTCTACGTTGACTGGGCTCTTCTGGAAGGCAAGCCGGGCGAATACAGGGCGGACGGCGTTTTCGCGCTCGAACCCTTCTTCGAAGCCGCTGCTGAGGCTGGCATCTACCTTCTCGCCCGTCCAGGACCGTACATCAATGCCGAGGTTTCTGGAGGAGGTTTCCCCGGTTGGCTGCAGAGAGTCGATGGAATCCTTCGTTCTAGTGACAAGCCATACCTTGAAGCTACTGACAAGTATGATTTGTGTCCTGTTCCCCTTGCACAGCAGCAATTTCTGACGTTTATTAGCTACATCGCGCACGTCGCCGCGACTATTGCCAAGTACCAGATCACTAATGGCGGCCCTATCATCCTCTACCAGCCTGAGAACGAATACTCTGGCTCTTCGGGAAATGTCACATTCCCTGATCCCGTTTACATGCAATACGTCCTTGACCAGGCTCGTAATGCGGGCATCGTGGTGCCTTTCATCAGCAACGATGCCTCTGCCAGTGGCCACAACGCGCCGGGGACTGGCGAGGGCTCGGTGAATATCTATGGTCACGATAGCTACCCGTAAGTTAAAGACCCTCATTTGTAATAAGCTATTACTAACTTGCTTAGACTTGGGTTTGATTGTGTATGTGTACTTGCGCTGTGGTGTTTAATTCTATGCTAACATCGCTTAGGCAAACCCTTCCACTTGGCCTGCTGGCAACTTGCCTACCAACTTCCGCACCCTTCATCTCGAACAGAGTCCTACTACTCCGTACTCGATTGTTGAGGTATGTTGTTTACTGCCATGTGTGTTCTAGATCTCTAGATCTAACCAGTAGTAGTTCCAAGCTGGCGCGTTTGACCCATGGGGCGGTCCTGGATTTGCCAAATGTGCTGCTCTAGTCAACCACGAGTTCGAACGAGTTTTCTACAAGAACGACTTTAGCTTCGGCGTTGCTATCCTCAACCTGTACATGGTGAGCTTTCTACACACTTCTCTCGGGTTCGCATGCCAACTAATGATCAAAGACTTTTGGAGGAACCAACTGGGGCAACCTGGGTTATGCAAATGGCTACACTTCCTACGACTATGGCTCGCCGTTGACCGAATCTCGCAATCTTACCAGGGAGAAGTACAGTGAGCTGAAGCTCCTCGGGAACTTTGCCAAGGCCTCGCCAGGTTACCTCCTTGCCACTCCAGGAAACTTGACCACTTCGGGCTATGCCGATACTTCCGACATTACCGTCACTCCTTTGCTCGGTAGCAACAACACTGGCTCTTTCTTTGTTGTCAGACACTCGGACTACACCAGCCAGGCCTCCACCTCATACATGCTGAAGGTTCCAACCAGTGCTGGTAGTCTGACAATCCCTCAGCTGGGAGGCAGCCTGAGCCTCAACGGACGCGATTCTAAGATCCACGTTGTCGACTATGATGTCTCTGGAACAAACATCTTGTACTCAACTGCTGAGGTTTTCACCTGGAAGAAGTTCTCTGACGGAAAGGTCCTCGTTTTGTACGGAGGAGCTGATGAGCACCATGAGCTCGCGATCACTACCAAGTCGAACGTGACTGTTGTCGAAGGCAAGGCATCTGCCATCTCATCCAAGCAGACTGGAAAGTCTCTTGTGATTGGCTGGGATGTCTCCTCTACTCGTCAAATCATCAAGGTTGGAGACTTGCAGATCCATCTCCTAGGTAAGACTTTATATCTCATGATTAGGTCAATAGATCTGACTAGGAATAGATCGGAACTCTGCGTACAACTACTGGGTACCGCAAGTCGGTAAAGATAGTACATCAACAGAGTTCAGCACTCAGGCTGCAGTTGCATCATCCATTATTGTCAAGGCAGGCTACCTCGTGCGGACTGCCTATGTCAAGGGCAACGGCCTTTACCTCACTGCCGACTTCAACGCCACCACCCCCATCGAAGTCTTTGGTGCTCCGGCCACCACTCGCAACCTCTACATCAATGGAGAGAAGACCAGTCACACGGTTGCAAAGAACGGTGCTTGGACGACGGAAGTCGAATACAGCGCCCCCAAGATCTCGCTTCCGAGCTTGAAGGGCCTGAGCTGGAAGTACTTAGACACACTCCCAGAGATCCAATCCTCGTACGACGACTCTCTCTGGATAGCCGCCGATCTTAGCGAGACCAAGAACACGTTCCGCTCCTTGACGACTCCGACTTCGCTATACTCGTCCGACTATGGCTTCCACACTGGCTACTTGATCTACCGTGGTCGTTTCGTCGCTACCGGAGATGAGACCACCTTTACTGTCGATACTCAGGGTGGTACTGCATTTGGAAGCTCCATCTGGCTCAACGATACCTTCCTTGGCTCTTTCACCGGTCTCTTTATCTACGCTGACTACAATCAAACCGTTACTCTTCCGAAGTTGAAGTCCGGCAAGGAATACGTCTTCACGGTGGTCGTCGATAACCTTGGTCTGGACGAGGACTGGACCGTCGGTTCAGAACTCATGAAGGCGCCCCGTGGTATCCTCAACTATGACCTTGCCGGCCACGACGCTAGCGACATCTCCTGGAAGTTGACGGGCAACCTCGGCGGCGAAGACTACCAGGATAAGACCCGCGGTCCTCTCAACGAGGGTGGTCTCTACGCCGAACGCCAGGGCTACCACCAGCCTCAACCTCCCAGCCAGAAATGGAAGTCCGCCAGTCCTCTCGACGGTCTTTCCAAGCCCGGCATCGGGTTCTACAGTGCTGAGTTCGAGCTCGACCTGCCGACTGGATGGGACGTGCCGCTGTTCTTCAACTTCGCCAACAGCACTACTCCCGACGCGTATCGTGCGCAGCTGTATGTGAACGGATACCAGTACGGTAAGTATGTGAGCAACATCGGACCTCAGACGAGCTTCCCAGTTCCCCAGGGTATTTTGAACTACCAAGGAACGAACTGGATCGCACTCAGTGTGTGGGCCCAGAATGAGGGCGGCGCCAAGGTGGAGGGCCTGGAGTTGAGCTACGAGACGCCTGTCTTGACGGCGCTGAAGGGAGTCAAGTCGGTGGATCAGCCCAAGTACAAGGCTCGGAAAGGGGCGTACTAGTTGGAGGTAGGGGATTTTAGTATCTACCCACGTATATAGTTGAATTGACATGATGAATCCGCTTGAGTAGCAGTCACGCAATTTTACCAGTCCTTTGTGATGGTGAAAGATAGTCAAGTCACTTCAAGAGGAAACAAAAGTTCGTGGTCCATGACCGAATCGTAATCTCGAAAAACGGATGCAAAAAAGGCAGGTTCCCAAAAAGGAAATCTGAATGCATCATCCGTGAATCGAACACGGGCCTCATCGATGGCAACGATGAATTCTACCACTAGACCAATGATGCTACTTGTTGATATGGTTTATGCTATTGTTGCCATATCTCATTTCTTTTACCTGGGCCAATATCTGCCACCACCTTTACTCCAAAGACTGCGCAACAATTATTCAACCCATTGCTAAGCACAACATCAGCCAATGCAGTCCTTCTGGCTAGCTTGAACTCCCTGTTACACAATTTATCTGAGTCATGCTCTTACCTGGTTGCTCATATGGATTACTGAGACCTTGAGTTACAGGTGTAGAATCTTCAGTCCATTCGATGCTATATATTCCCTCGGCTATTAGCGGTGCTCACCCACTCAACAGCCGGAGTATAGCCTACCAAGGACCAGAGGAGAACATGCACCAACGAAGACCAGGATCGTATGCGCACTACTCGTCCCGACATAGAACTACATGAGTCTTTAAGACCCGAGCTTGACGATTATGATACCTGCAAAAGCCTTATCGAATTTCAAAATCAAAAAGTACGCAAAAGTCAACATGAGACGGTCAACACAGAGAAATAACATCGAGCTCCAGCCTCAAGTTCGACTCAGTTCCAAAGAAGGATACAGTAAGTACCCAGACAACGAAGTCCTTTCTCGCCGGTAAGTGATGAAATCTCCAAAGTATGCAAATCCACGGCACTCCCTACATACACGGGTACAATAAATTCAGAGATATGGCGCATCCTCTATTATCTCCTACCCTCCTTCACCGCACGCTTTCGCCAGAAACACAGGATCTTTCCCGCAATGAAGGAAGGAGGAACTAGCTGCATCAAATTGCATCGTTGAACTTCCAGTCATTCTCGTGTTGGCGTCGGAATTCGAGGACTTCCTGTCTGATCTGCTCCAGATGGTACGCCTCGGGCTGGTACCTCCCACCGGGCCGAAGCTCTTGCTGGCGAAGATGGCTGCTAACCATACTACCCACGGCGAGGTGACTCCGAAACGGTTGGCCCCAGAGGTGGGAAGACGGATGGGCTTGGGGAGCCGGTTGAGGTCGCTGTTCTACTACAAGAGGGCTGATTAGTCAAAATCTACCCAACCGGGGTAGGGCCCAGAGGGACGGAAGGGGAGGAGTGGAAGCCGTCACCTGCAGGGGCGAGACTCTGGGGCGGACCACCCCGTGGAGTGGCCACGGGCGACTCGGGAGATTCTGGATGATCCCGGGCACGGGTATGGCGACGGCCTGTAAACATTCCAAAAAGCCCACCACCCTGAGAGCGACGGGGGTTCTGGGAAGCCCCAGAAAAGCTCGCAGGAGGGGGAACATGACCACGATCCGGAAAGGCGGGGCCGATGTATTCGACGCTTCCAGGAGGGAGGTTCTCCGAGCGCTCCATGATCCGCGCGAACGCCTCAGCCCTGGGATCAGCAGTTGGACCCGTACACCCGCAGGTCCTCCAAATTCTACCACAGAAGTAGCAGAATTCGACGCCACAAAGGCACCTAAAAGGGGGCACGTTCTGGTTTAGTATCGGAGCCGCGGGAAAAACAAGGGGAGTTTAGAGAGGTTCTGACTAACGCCACATGTTGGCATCCGGAACGAAGCTCCACGAGTCGCCTACAGCGAGGACAAGTTTGCCATCCGTATCTCCTCGCGGCGCTCATCTGTCGGTTGTAGTCGGTGTTGTCTGGGCAAAATCCCGTGTGAAACGGTTCCTTGCAGATTGCACACGTCTTGTGGCCACAGTCGGGACAATTTGCCGTGTTGTTGGCGATCCACGTTGAGGGGATGAAGGCAGAACACCGTCCACGCGAGCAGTATACCTTGTTCGGAGTCTCGAACTCAACTTTTTTCTTCTCGTATTGCCGGAGGGTCTCAGGTGTGAGGTGCTTGCCTACAGCGGCCATGTCAAAGGGCCGTCCGCAGCATCTTGGAGGAAACCGGCCCCCTTCTGTTAGTGAGGACCTGAAGTAGCGTTCTAGGCAAGATGAGCAGTAGTCATGCGAACAGTGCGAGCGTGCCACGTTGGTCCGGCTTATGTCTTCCGTGCAGCAAGTACATCGACGAGCTGGTGTCATTGGGTACCTTTTCAGTCTCTGGCGGACTGAGTTAGCATGTGTTGGGGCTTGGAACTGAAAGTCAGCTTGTCTGCTGCTGATGGCTGTGTTGTTTTCGATGTCGTTATAGACGAGTAGGATGAGAAGGAGGAAGAGAAATGAAAAGAGAGAGCGGAAAAAGAAGACAAGGAGGAGGACGAGGAGGAGGAGGAGGAGGAAGGAGAAGAAGAAGAGCAAGAAGGAAAGGGAGGACCTGCAGGTGGGGGTTGGGGCAAGGCAATTCATTCACAGTTCTTGATAGATCTCTTTCTTCGCATGTTGCATTTTGATTCTTTGTCGATGTGAGACTGTGTCAGAGTGCTCCCAGCACACAATGTGGGTGGGTGTTGAACACTGCGTGACGGGGCCTGTTTGCACCGATCCTGAGACGGCAGTCATGATGAACACATCCGCGCAGGCATTCACTTCCCACACACCACTACATCGGAACTTCACTTCCTCCTATCCCACTCAGCCACCTGTTCGCTCTCAGGTTTAAAGTTTTGTGTTCTATCGAACTTCCGCAACGCTCAGTTTCACGGAGAAACATTCCGGTTTTAATCTTCCTAACTATCGGTCTGCCCGGCCACGGATGTGAAGCTGAGTATACTTGTTCAGAGAAGACCATCGATTCCGTCTACAGAGTCTTTTTTTTTTTTCTTGGTTCTCTCTCTTACTTCTACAGGACTACCCAGTAGTGTCATCCCGCGCCATGGAGAAGTCCTCGTCATCTGACGGGACCGGCGTCTTTACTCCAGCATCCTCTACAGCAGCTACTATTCCGACGGACCTGAAGAAGGTGAAGACACTATTTGGGAAATGCACTGTCCAGGGCTTAAACAAAGGCTACGTGTGTACCTGTAAGATGGGCACCACTGAGTCCTTTGTATCTGCTATCGATCAAGAGGCCTCATGCACTGAATGCCATCACTCACTCAGCAAGCACCTGGAATACACTCAAAGTAAGTCACTTCAGAAAACCGTCCACAGATTTGCCCGTTAAGTGTCTTCCATAGATCCAGCCAAGAAACAAGCCGCCGTGTTTGCACTATCACCACAGCCGGACATACACAAAGGACCTGAGATCTGTCCACGAATTGACACGTTGCTTGGGATAGCACAAGAGCTCGACACAAAACATGTCGTCTATGTACAAGGCTCACCCGTGTCCGGCAAGACGACCCTTGCGCTTTTGCTGCGGGACTTCCTTCGCCAGACACGCAAGGTCATCTTCGTGAAAGGTTGGAAAAGGAAGGGTAGCTCAATAAATTACCTGATCCAGGCAGCCTATGCGCAGGGCCTGAGTCAGGACGAGGTGCACGGTGATCTTCACAGTGATCACAACAGCGGACTGGTGTTCATCTTGGATGACGCACACGAGACCTGCGGTGATTTCGACTTTTGGTCCGAGATTGTCGATGCCCGATTCGGCAAGCAGCATGGTCCTCGGTTCTGTTTGTTCTTCGCACACGAGTCTTTGAGGACTGGGTCCCTCGAGGCGCGCTTCAGCAGACGTCAGCCTGTCTTCAAACCATCGCGCACAGTCACCCTCCTGCCCTACTGGCCGAGCTCCATGTATTCCGTCTTCTACACCCAATCCGAGCTACAGGATGTGGCCAAGAGGTACAGTGCTACGACCGGCTGCCCTGAACTGTCCCAGAATGGTCGGGAGTGTTTGATGGCCCTGACAGACGGACACCCTGGAATGGTCGATGCCCTGCTGGCATATATACGCCAGGTGAGTCAAAACCCAGTTGAAAACTCCCTTCGTTCTCCTCTAACTCTCAACAGTACGCAGGAAGAGACTTCCAACAATACATCAACAAAGATATGTTGTCGCCCCCCACCGATGAGTTCCGCGAGTTCCTGAGCAGCAACGATGCCCTCGAATTTATCCGATACCAACCCGCCGGGAAGAGCCTGCCATCGAAGTACAGGACCAACGGGAACTTAACCCAGACCATGATCGACATATTGCTCCGGGTCCTCCGCCAGGGCAACATCCGCTTCAACCACAAGGACCAAGACCTGAAGCTCTGCGTCAAATACGGATTCCTGTATACCTTCCTCGACTTCGCCAACAAGGTCTTCTGCGTTCTCCCCTCCAACGTCCATGCCCGGTGAGCCCAGCCATCCCCCTCGAAACCCTCCTTACCTCACCCCCCCACAACCACTACTAACCCAACCATCACAGCTTCCTCGAATATGAACACAGCGGCATCTCCGAGCCCAGCTTCCAAGGCGTGGGCGGCGGCCCGGAGATCCGGGAATTCTGCATCCGCGTCCTGCAGTCCCTGCCCCCGGAGTCCCTGCAGAATACCTTCGCCAGCCGGCGGGGTCCCGCGGGTCGCGTCCGGGCCCGCGCCGATCTGTTCCAGGACGAGTTCTACCAGAGCTGCTGGAGCCACAACATCTTCGGCGGGGCGGTCACGCGCGACTGGACGCGCACCGCGAGCCCGCGCACGGCGGTCGAGGTGCCCGCGGTGGGCTGGCGCATCGAGCTGCTGCACGGGTACGCGGCGAGTTTTGATCTGCGCGCGATCGCCCGCGAGTGTGCGGACCTGGTGGCGCGGGGTAAGGTGCGGCATTGGGTGGTGCTGTTTTGTGCGGGGGAGCAGGTGAGATTGCAAGGTATGGATGGCCCAGCGGATTTTTGGTGTGGGGGAGGGCATGCGGGCTAACTTTTTGAGCAGGGAATTGTGAGAATCTGCTGCATATTGTGTTCAAGGATGATTTCGCCAAATTCACCGTCAAGGCTTCGGGGAGTCGTTTGGAGTATAGTCTGGGGCAGCTCTGATGGGGTTGAGGATTACTTGGATCTTGCTGCTCTTGCTTGAAGGTCGCCGGGGCTAGTATGCAATGACAAGTTCACTACAGGTTCTACAGGTTTCATGGGTGCAGTTGGAATGGCTGACAGGGGGAAGTGTAAGAATAGAGTGAGAAACATCTAAAGCAGAATTGATCTTCAGTAATCTGGATTGACTTGACTACTTCTACGTTCAAGATTCATCGCAGTAGAGTTGGATGTAGCCTAAAGCTACACAAAGATTAGATCATATTATCCTGGTCAACTACGGAGTAGACTAAGTCGGGCATCTCGATCAGCGGATAAAATGAGAAAGAGCATAACTACGTGCAATCTACGCGAAACCATCATGTCTCTGGTCTCAGCTCCAGTCCTGGGGGACTGTCTCTTACCTCCTCTGCTTAGGTGCTATCCTACGCAGAGGAGCCGTGCCATGAGGAGCCGTGCCATGAGGAGCCGGGCCATGAGAAGCCGTACCATGATGAGTCACCCCATGCACAGGAGCCCTCGCAGTCACCCCATGCACTGCCGCAAGATGTCTAGATAGGCTTTTATCGGTGGAGCACACATCGGGGCAGTGGGGGCACGTAGAATTATCATCGTGCTTCGTGCGGTGATGATGCCACAAACTATCATCAGACCCGTAATGCCGGCGACAAGGCACCCCGTCTACGATAAGGGTGCAATGAAAGCGGCCATCCCTCAGAGCAAAGCTCACTGGGATCCTTGTAGGCTTACGCACACGATAACGCCTGTCTTTACGGGGCTTCTGCGGCAATGATTGCGCCTTTGTCGGTGCAGTGCGATCGGGCTCGAGGCCGCGAGGGAGTTGGTGTGGATGCGGCGGGTGCAGCTGAGGCTGCTTTATCTGAAGCCGCTGCTGCGCCTGCTGGGGATACTGCTGCTGCTGTTTTTGTAGAGGCTGATGTATCTGAGCGTGCTGCTGCATCCGAATTGGATTTTGCGCCGGCTGCCGATGTTGTCGCAGCATCAGAGAATGATGTTGCATCTGCAGCTGCCGGTACTGAGCTTGATGTAGCTGAGGCTGGATCTGTGACTGATGCTGAAGTTGCATCTGCTGCAAATTCTGGTACTGGCGCAGGTGCCGAGGTTGCTGCTGGTGATTCCGTTGTGCCTGAGAATACCGCTGAGAATGTAGCTGTATTTGCTGCTGGTGCTGAGCTTGATACAGCTGACGCTGTGTCTGTAGCTGATAATGAGATTGCATCTGCTGCTGGTAAAGCTGCTGATGATTCTGCTGTGCCTGAGAATACTGCTGAAGATGCATCTGTACCTGCTGCTGCTGGTTTTGAGGTTGCATCTGCCGCTGGCGCAGGTGTAGGTGCTGAGGTTGCTGCTGGTGCTGAGAAGGCTGACACCGCAGAGGATATACCTGTAGTTGCTGCTGGTTCTGCCTCTGGCGTTGAGAAGTCCGAACCTGCTGAGAATGCAACTGTACCTGCTGCTGGCTCTGCTTCTGGTGCTGAGTAGGCCGACCCTGCAGAGGATGTATCTGTATCTTCTGCTGCTGCTGCTGCTGCGGAGGCTGAAGCTGCTGAGGAGACACCCGCATCTGCTGCTCGGGCTGAGACTGACAATGCTGCTCGGGCTGCTGACCTTGAGGAGGCCGACGTTGCGGAGAATGCACCGTTACTTGTAGCTGCTGCTGCTGTGCCTGCTGCTGCACCTGAGGATGATTCTGCGCCGCCTGCTGCCCCAGCTGCTGCTGACGAAGCCGCTGAAGCTCCTGTATATTTTTCTGCCGTAATTCATCAAGGCGCCAGATCTTAAGGCGACGCTCCGACTCCTCAAAATCCGGGTCGAGATCCCACCCGGTGCCGCAGCGGAGACATTCCATCGGTATGAGGAGGCTACCCTGCTCCCTCAATCCAGAAAGCATCTCCTCGAGACACTCGTGGTGATAGAGAGCCCGACATGTGAGCCTTGAACAGCGGTAGATCTGCCTGCTAGGGTCCGTGGGCGGAAGGTAGGCAGAACACAGCTCGCAATCGCGAAAGTATTCGATACCAATATCTGCCCAGTTCCCGGGGAAGACCTCATCAAACAGCGCCGACTTCTCAGCAGTGAATTCTGGCTCGGAGAGGAGCATTGCGAGCGGGCTTCCGCTCTCGCGCATACCTGGCTGGGTGGGTGCGTTGGCCATGGTGGATCAGCTTGAAGTGAGATGGATGGTTAGTGGGGGATGGAATTGGGAGTCTTGTGGTGCTGGAGGTTAGTACTACTTGAGCGATTACTCTCGTATGTGTTTGAGCAGTGATTATATTGTTTTGACAGGTGTGGTGGGTGGATGGAGGCGGGAGGAAAGTGGGAGGTGGAAGGTAAGGAAGACTTCCTCTAAGCAGGAGCTTAATGCTTTGGGCCAGATTGAGGGAAGTGGGCCGACGACCGCTTCGGGAGGACCTTTCACTACCACTCGGTCCTCCGATTCCTGCTGAACCACATAGGAGAGGGCTCTTGATCTGTTCCAATCAGAATTCCGGATTACTGGGACAGCAAATGCGCATGGACGCTGTGCCATTCTTCGCTACGGGCATTTTTAACGACGATCTCCTGGATTGGGATGAATCATCCTCTTTCCAGACTCATTGTCTTCTCAAGTCCCAAGTTCTACCTTCGCCTGCTTGCGTCTTGTCTGCTGACTGGCTGAGCGGGATTAGGAGTAGTTGAGGTTGACGTCGTGTGAGCTGAAGGCTATCTCTCGGTTGCGCATCGGATATCATTTCGACGACTACTTTCCAATGGCAATTCACGCGTTGATGAATCGTCCGAGTCGACCTCGTTCTGTTTGCGACACCCTACTATGAGCTGTATAAGCTATACTCGAGGTCTATCCTAAGGAACAGGGTGGCATGGGCTACAGCGTAGGCTGTAGCATAGGCCGTTGCGTCATTGGCGTTGCGCCGGTAGCAAACGCAGCTGGTCGGACCCAGTGAAGTGCTGGCTGCTATTTATGCTATGCGCGTGCTCTCCAACCCAGTGCCAAGAGTCACTGGAAGCTTGTGCTGTCTTTGGTGATAGCAGAGAAGCTTTCTAGAAAGTGTTATTGGTAAAACTGCAGATCGGCAGTGGCTGCCCGTCGTATGAACAAGCTCCGCAGGATTCACAATTAGACGGGAGTAGCAATGGATGAATGAGAACAGTGCGGTGAAAGAGTCTTTTATTCCATCAGGCTATGATCACAGCTGGAATAGCTATAGCACTGTGGACAGTGAGCATTACTTCATACCAAGGATGTAAGAGAACCAATTACCTAGCTGGGTAATGAGCTACTGGTCGGGGGGTTATAGTACTGACTGTACTGTACATCACGTTACGGTATCGGACATATAGTGAAACCCTGCTGTAGAACAAAATAGACAGGATCTTAGTGTGCTGTGAGTCTTACCTCGATATCTGGAGTTGATTGACATGACTGAAGTACTGATGTAGTTCTTTTAGTTTAGTTACGCTATAGTTACACTACGTAGTTATGGGTAAGCGAGACTCCACCCAGCGGAAAAGGCCCGGCGGGTCGACAGTCTTAGCTCCACTCCATTGATTGATCCATCGCATCTTCATCCATCCCAGCCACCCATTTATTGACTCGTACTGCCTGACTGACCTTCGTCATCTCCGCTTCTGCTTTTCTCTTCTTCATTCTTATCTAAAAATAAGACCTCAACTCAGGCACTCACTTCTCCCTTTGTTGCACGGTTGAACCTACAAGACTATGACCTCTCCACGTCCATAACCACGACCATCGCATACTCCACTAATTACTCCGTCCGCACTGCAGCCACCACCACTGTCAAACAACAAACCACCACCACCACCGTCTAATAAACAACAACAACAACAACCACCCCCAAAAATGCCACCCACCCTCCTCCCCTCCCGAATACCTCCCCAGACCATCCAACAAAACCACCCGCGCAACCCCCGCGAATTCACCACCATCCCCTCGACCTACAGCTACACCCCCAACCTACCGGCCGGCACAATCGTCGGCATCGTCCTGGGCAGCGTCCTCGGCTTCCTCCTCCTACTGTACCTAATCTATCTGGCCCTCACCTCCGGCCGCAAATTCTCCCCCTCAACAACAAACGGAGACGGGACGATCCTGTCCGGCAGCACGACGTCCTCGCCCTCCTCGCACTCCGAGATCATCGTGGAAGAAAACCTCAGCTCGACGCGGTCGCCGCGCTCGCATCGGTCGCGACGGAGTCGACGGCCTGGCGATCGTACTCGACGAAGGGAAGAGATCATCGAGGAAGGGTACCTGCCCCCGCATGGACGTCTCCACCCGCCGCATTCCAAGCATCATCAGCGGAATCGCCAGCATCCGCCCGAGATGGTGGAGGCGAGTGTGGTGTCGAGTGAGCGGTCGGATGTGGTGACGGTTATGGAGGAGCATTCGAGTGTGGAGGGCCAGAGGAAGCCTAGAAGGCCCGGGAAGGGGGGGTATCGCGCGGTGGATTTGGATGCGGTGGAGGGGTTGTCGGTTGATGGGAGTCTGAGGTCGTAGGATCTGGGAATGAGGTATGGGAGGGACGGTGTTTTTGATACCCTTTAGTTTTTTTTTTTTTACTTTTTTTTTGATTGTGATTTATGAGTTGTGTTGGGTTCTTCACAATGGATGGAAGCATGAGTTATGAGATAATGCTGCATTTGCATGAAGAGTTCTACTGAGATAGGTCTAATGATAATGATGACGGTTGATGCCCGGTGTGTTGGAATATCATTATGGCGCATATCAATAGAGTATAGTATGGTATAGCATTCCCATCTCAGCCCTGAGCAAGAGACAACAACAAACAAAGCGAAACACAACACCAACAACCCAGGAACCCAAAAGCAATCCAAACAAGCACAACCCAAGGACCAATACTCAAAACCAGTCATACATGCAGAAACACAACGCCCAACACCGCCACCCCCATATAACCGAAGTTGGTATAAAGGCATCCATTCATCATCCACCCATCAATCAGCCAATCAACCCACCCATCCATCCCCATATAACCCGAACACAGTATAAAAGCATCCATCATCACCTACAAGCTCCGCCACCTAAAACAAAATATCCAAACAACAACAACAAGCCAGCGCCGCCATAATGCCCGCACACATACCCCCACCAGACGAGCCCCCGCCCCGATCCCCGCCCGCATAGTACCCCTGCTGCGGCGGCGGTTGCTGTTGCGGATAGTACATCGGCTGCTGTTGCGGGGGCGGCGAGCCCGGATAACCCTGGGGAGGGGGGTAGTAGCCACCACCGCCGCCTTGCGGGGGGCCGTAGCCTTGCTGCGGGGGGTAGCCGCCTTGATTATAATAGTCCTGGGAGGCGCCGCCTTGGGGTGGGTAGCCTTGTTGCTGCTGTTGGTAGTGGTAGGGTCCTGCGTCGTGGACGGGGGAGGGGTAGGAGGGGGGTGGGTTGTCCTTTTTTTCTTGGGGTTAGTGCGGTGTGGTGTGGATGGGGGGTTTAGGATGAGGATGGGGACTGGGAACGTACCGGTTTGTTGTAGGACATCGTTGTGAATTCTTCAGAGACGAAGACAAGAAGGGGTGTGGTTTCTATCGGATAGAAGGTGTAGGTGGTAGCAGTCCACGGGGGAAGGAATGCGAAGAGCAAGGCTGTGGATTGTGGATTGTGGAGGAGAGTGCGAGAGCGAGAAAGAAGGAGGAGAAGTCAAAAAATCCCATGGCACTCACTCACTCACTCCCTCCCTTGGCGGGAGCCCGGATTAGGCAACGGATTTGGCGGATCTCCACGTAATGCCGAGGCGTGGTTTCTTGGATCTTGGGATGGATGGCGCAGCAGTAGTCGCGTAAATTGTGGCGGTGTTATTTACAGTTTAGGGGGGATCCATTGACAGCTCATTCTATTCTGTTGTGGTTGTGGTTCCCTACGTCGCATCTTCAGCTTTTTCTGTCGGAACATCCATGCAATTACTGGCATACTGCTGATCTTGACGGGTCTGCAGGTCTCCCGAGAGTGACGCGGCGGATGGGTTCATGACACACACCCGGGCACCCCCTCTTATCTTATCGCAAATCTGGGGCATTCCATCCAAATCTGATCCCCCGTCTGGAACATCCCTGATCTCTTGGGACAAACTCATCCATTTTTTCAACCTACTCCTAAAGTTTTGCGATGATTGATACTTTTAATCTCTCACTACAGCATCCATTCACCAATACCACTTCACGCTGCAATTAGATTCGCTAAACGCTATCGTTTTCGCCAGGTTCGTCCACGGATTCAGCAGAAAAAAAGGTATGACAAAGCAAAAGGAAATCGATGAAATTGATTACACAAGAAGGAAATAGACCAGCCCCAAAGCCGGTCCCAACATACAAACGCACGGTTTTTCAAAGAGGTCACCAATACCCGTGTATATTGGCTTCTTCTCATCAGAGGAGCAGGTCGAAGTGGAGGGGAGGATGATGGGAGGATCATAGGAGGCAACAGAGAGATGACAGGAAAGTTATAAGGGTAGATGCAAAGAAAAGAACCAAAGTCACACGAATATATAGTCAGCTTTTGGGTTCTAACCATGCGCAGAGGCTTTTTGCGGTCAAAATGCAAGTGCAAGTGCATGCAATGCGATGCAATGCAATGGTCTATACGTCGGAGCGGCCCATTTAGGCCTGGTCCTCGACGGTGGCCTTCTCGAGCTCTTCCGTCACGTCGGCGACAGCGTCCTGCTCCTGCTTGAGCTCAGCATCCGCAGAGACCTTGCCGTTGACACCGCTGTTCTTGATGGCCACCTTCTTGGCGCCATCGGTCGCCCGGTCGTCGTTGGCAGCGGCGGTCTCCTCGGCCTCAAGGCGGGCAATCTCCTCCTGGGCCTTCTTGATGTTCTACGCATTCAGTTAGTAGTGACCACGGCAAAACAAACACAGAAAAAACTCACCTCCTCGGTCTTCGAGGCCTGGTTCTTCTTCCACTCGGTGATCTTGGCCGCGAGCTTCTCAATCACGGCAGGAACATCCGCCTGGTTCATGGGAGGGTCGATCTTGACCTTGGCGAAGTCCTCAATGACACCCACGTTCAGGTTGAACTTGGTCTCGGCCGGGGCAGCGGCGGCGGGGCTACCGTTGGCGCCCTTCTTGCCCTTCTTACCCTTCTTGCCACCAGTGCCGACGAAGTAGTCCTCGCCGTCATCCTTCTTCAGGACCTTCATGCCCTTCAGGCCGGAGTCATCGACCGTGCGGCCGATTTCCGCGCGGAAGTTGGAGCCCTCGTCCTTCTTGTCGTCCAGACCCAGCGCGGCGAAGTCGTAGGCGGGGTTGAAGTGGCGGATCAGACCCTGGCCGATCAGGATCTCATCGGTGTAGGCGGGGCGGGAGGCCTCCTCCAGCTTCTTGTCGGCGACCTTCTTGCGCTTCTCGCGCTCGAAGGCCTCGCGCTGGGCCTTCTGCTTCTCGCGGCGGACGCGCCAGGCCTCATCCTCGTACTCCTTGTAGGCCTTGCGGGCCTTATAGTAGTTGTCCTTGATCTCGCGGATGGCGGTCCACTTCTTCTGCTGCTCGGCGTGCAGCTTGGTGCGCTCGTCGCGCAGGGCGTTCAGGTTCTTGAAGGCGCTGTCCTGCTCGGCCTTGATGGCGTCGAGCTCCTTCTGGATCTCGTTGTACTTGTCGCTGAGGGCCTTGGCCTCGGGGTTGTCGAGGCTCTTCTTGAGGGCGGCGATCTGGTTCTTCAGGTCGGTGATGGCCTTCTGGGCTTCCTCGAGGCCGGCGAAGTTCTTGCGCTGCTTGCGCAGGTTGGAGACGTCGGAGAGGATCTTGCGCTCGTCAACCAGGCGCAGCGTGCCGGAGTCGACCTGCTTCTCGAGGCGGGCGATTTCCTTGTCCAGCTCCTCGACGTTCTTGAACGACATGCGACCGCGCGAGTTGTTCTGTTCCGAGATGCGGGCCTTGAGCGTGGCGTCCAGGGCGTTGATCTTCTCCTGGGTGCTGGAGCGGCCGGCCTTGAAGCCCGACTGCTTCTGGCGGATCGAGGACAGCTCGGCGCGGAGTTCCTGCTGTCTCTTCGCGGTGGGCGAGTCCTGGTTGTTGGGCTTGGCGGTCTCGATCTTGGCCTTGATTTCATTCTTGAGTGGAGGGGGTTAGCTCAATTGCCAGCAGGTCATGACCGGGGCCATGCAATTGGGTGTATAGCGGTCAAGTAAGAACCGTAGCACAGAAAGAAGGCCTTAGAACCCGGAGGAAGGAAAAAGAGGCCACGGTGCGGAAACGCAGAATCCCCGTAAACAAAACAATGCGATAGGGATGGTGAACGCCAATTCAGGTCATAGACGAGAAGGGAATAACATACCAGCTTCTCCTGAACAGCGGCGTGCTCCTTCTCGGCCTGGGCCAAATCGGCCTTGAAAGTCTCCTCATTGGGCTTGGTGGGCTTCACCTTCTGCTCCGTGGCAGGAGCGGACTTGGCGTCGGCGGACATGATTGAGATGAGGTGAGGGAGAAGGGCAATTGACAGGCAAGAATTGACTTAGAATAAAATCAATCAGTCAATTGAGAGAAAATCAACCCAGAGGAAAAAGGAGTGGGGGTTGAGAGAGAAGGAGAGGGAGGGGGAGGAAGAAAGAGAGAACGGGAAAGGAAAGGGAGTCAGTTCAGTAGTGTCAGTTACGGTAGTTAGTTCCAGTCAGTCAACAACTGGAACTCGTGCTCTTTTTCTCGGCCTGGCCCTCTTTCTTTTGGCTGGTGACTTTTGTCTGGTCTGGGCGGGCGGCGCTTAAGTTCCCCGTTTGGCGCCTTTAGCGCTGGGCCGCCGATTTTTCGAGAAACCGGCCGTCCATTTTACTCTCGCATCCGCCTTTGACCTGCACTTTTTGCCCGCCAGCTTTCTTTCACCTCCACCTTTACTTGCATATCGCCCGTTGCGGTGTCTTTTTAATCTCTCTCTGACCTCCAATCATCTGCACCTTACACGCGCGACGTGTTTCCCAACCCTTCAACATGGATGAGGACTACTCGACCGGGTCCGTGGACGCCGACCGCGAGATGACCAGACTCTGGCGCACATGGCGAACAGTCTTTGAGATGCTTCTGGACCGGGTCAGTCTCCGCCTCCCCAGCAGCTCCCAAGCCTTGCGATCAACTCATACTAACGTATCCGTATGAGGAAAAGGGCTACGAAGTCACCGAAGACGAAGTGCAAATCCCGCTCGCGGACTTCAAAAGAAAATATTCCGACCCTCTAGGCTATCCCGAGTACGTTTAACCCATTACCACCCTGCCCAACCCCCCATCCCCCCATCAAAAACTAATCACCCCCCCAATCAACAGCCGCAACAAAATGAAAATCAGCGCCCGCCCCACGGAAGCCATGCAAACCAAATACACGCCCCTCCCGAGCAAATCCAACCCGACCCCGCAACCCGACTGCGGCACGATCTACGTGGAATTCTGCCCGGACTCGACAGGAGTGGGCACGAAGCAAGTCCGGGCCTTCAACCACTTCGTGGACGAGAACAACTTCCACACGGGGGTGTTCATCACGCAGACGCCCATCTCCCCCTCGGCCGTGCGCCTGCTGAGCGGCGTCCCCGGCCGCATCTGCGAGCACTTCCAGGAGCAGGATCTGCTGGTCAACATCACCCGGCACGAGCTGGTTCCCAAGCATGTGCTGCTCAGCCCCGATGAGAAGGCCCGGCTGTTGGAGCGGTACCGCCTCAAGGAGTCCCAGCTGCCCCGCATGCAGCATTCCGATCCCGTCGCGCGGTACCTGGGTCTGCGCAAGGGGCAGGTCGTCAAGATTATTCGGAAGAGTGAGACGGCGGGGCGGTATGCGAGTTATCGGTGGGTGCTCTAGGTTTTTTTTCAAGGTTGGGATGGGGAGGGGAGGGAGGAGAGATGGGGGTCAGAGGGATTATCGCGGAGATTTCCCTGCCATTTATCATGATGCATCATGGTACTGGGTCCAAGGGCAGAGCGGGAGGCAAAGAAAACAAGAAAGAAAATTATTGTCTAATTACAGGCATCGGGCAGCATGGCGTAAGGGCGAAAAAGTTATTCTCTAACCAAACTCGATGCGTTTCTTTACTCATGGTTCTATGATTTGGTGATTATGTTCTGGCTGTTGGGTGGCTTCACCTGAATACTCTCTAAATATTGATTTCATCACCTTTGCACACACAAGCATAAGACTCCAAGTGAGTTTTGCAATCAATGCATAGAATGCTAACCAACATTACTATACTATATGGTATATCTCATAAAATCATGCCGAACTCCATAGCCCAACCAAACCCGCCAATCCGAGTCCAGTTCCAGTGAAACACGCTAAGCTCAAAGCAAAGACACGAAACGAATAATGATACAGGCACATTACGCTGGTCATCGATCCTACCGCCGCGACAGCAATCCTCCCACATCCTGGAGCTCGACACCATCGCCCTCGGGGATCGGGGTCGAGACTTCGGGCTGGGAGCGATAGGACGGCACGGGCGACTCCGGCGAATCGCTGAAGTGAACGCTCGATCCCCTGCGACGGTTCGACGCAAGAGAGCTGCGGCGAAGGCCGCCTGGGCGGGAAGAAGAATTCGGGGCCGCGGGAGATGATGGGAGTGCGTGGTGATGGTGGGCCGCATTGGGATCTGGGTTCAAGTCCGGCGAGCCGGAGGGAGAGACGGTACCTCCGAAGTCGTAGCTGGCGGATTTACTACTGCCACTGGAATGGCGCGGTTGATGATCCGGGTAGTGGGACGAATGCGCGGTTGTGGGAGTAGGCGCGTTGAGCAGGCCGCCTACATCGAAGATAGAGAGTTGGGTTGGGGATGAAACCTCTCGGGGCATCCTGTGTGGAGGCGAAATGTTGGTCTCTATATATTCGTGGGGACTGACTTTGATGTCGAGACTGCCTGTGGTGGACGTGCGATCATCGTCCATGCCCCCCGGTCGTTGAGGGAAAGACCAGCTCGGGTTCAGTAGGCCGGCGGGACGGCCTGTGAGGCTGTGATAAGGGGCAGCAACCGGCGCAGGACGGGGCAAATCCCTATCTGAAGAGCATAGTTCCGGCTTCAAACGGATTCCCAGGCCCGCAGCCAGGTCTGAATCGCTGCCCCATTGATGGTGGGTGATGGTTTGGCGGCGAAAGGAGCTATAGTCCATATTCTCGTTGACCGAAGCGGATGCCAGGGCCTTTTTGAATTTGTTCTTCTTGACGCCCTTGTCTCGCACGAAGGAACCGATCACGACAGCATTGGACACTGCCGTGGCGACCAGTATCTCTAGCGATGCCAGAAGCGATCGGTACTGTTGCTCTCCATCATGCCAGATGACGGATGGTACCCGGTAGAGGGTGATTGCCACGAGAATCAGAGATAGGGCGAACAAAATAACAAGAGAGGCTTTGCGCTTCAAGGGCATGTGAGTCATCATGATGAACGGGATCGGAAATGCCACCAGCAGCAGATCTGTGATCACGTCGCAGGTCCCCATCACGATCAGGTTTGCATACCCAAGACGGCACTTCGGCCCTGGATCCGGCACGACTTGCCAGTAATGGTCAAACGGAGTGCACTCCGCGAGAGTAGCAATGACGACCGCGAGCAGGGTCGAGGCCAAGAAATAGTAGAGGGATTTGCGGAAAATATCGAGGGACCGTCGCCAGATCATACCCGAGACACGTTTCAAAAACTCGCATACGGTGAACTTTGCCGTCCAGATACTGCTCCCAGATGGCTATGTTAGCGCATGTTTCAAATCACGAAATCAGCGGAGAGGTTTAGGTCGCTCACAAGACAGCATAGAAGATCCGGGCGACCAATACCAGCTTGCTGCCAACAACCCTATGATCGATGTTCTCCATAGACAGTCCGGTAGTCTTCGTATTATTTGTTCCCCATATCAAAATGACATGCACGCAGGCCATGCGGATCAGCAGCGGAATCACGCCGGCTAGCATAACCTTGTCTTCCATAAAGAAACGCTCGGTCCGGACGTAGCGTCCGCATACTCGAGTAACGATGATTGCAAGAGAAAACCCAGTCGCCCACCAGCTAACAAGAAGGGTGGAGTTGTTGTCCAGCTTAGTTCGAGGATTTGGGGGCGTACTGTCGAAAAGCCTACGAGAATCCAGCATCCATTGTATACTCATGGCCGCCGAGCCACCTCCGAAGAGGGGCCAGTGGACGCTATGGGAGGGCGATCTCGATCTGTAGGTGATGGGGCGCTTCGTACGCTTGGAGGTTGACTATTGTATACTATAATGTTACTTCGCTTCGCTTTCGAATGTCTCAAATCGGGGGAAATGTCATCGATGAGCACGTGCTCTCGAACTGGGGTACGTGTGGGGAAGCCGGGGCCAAGAAGAGGAGCCCCGGAGAATAATACCAGTCGGACTTCCCAACAGAGGGTCTCAGTGGGTGGAGAAGACGTTAACCGTGTGATGATTGTCTGCGTAACTGCTAAGAAAGGAAGATGGCGGGAGATACCCCTTTGAGTAAGATCCCGGAAGAGGTTGAACATGACACTACTTTCTCACAAGCGACGAGAGAGGAGTAGAGGTTGTCAACTTGTCAATAGTGGAGGAACGCGCGAAGCTCGCCGGATTCACCGCCGTTGTGACGTCGAAGTTATTATATTAATGTCCGCGGTCAACCGAGAGTGTGTTTGGGGGATCTTCTAGGCGAGATTCCGGTTGCGACCGAGTCGCGCGATGAGCGCCGCGTCGAACCAGACAGAGCAAGCAGGGGTGTGTTAACGAGAGGTAGCTGTCAACATCGTGATGGTCAGCCCGGCTCGTGAACCATGTTATAATCTCAGTGGGACTCATGGCGAGCCAGGATCTGACTGTTGGGGTCAAGGCGTTCCGATAAACTTCGCTGGCCGGTGAGGAGATAACGCTGGTCGACGGAAATTTAGGGGGGCAAGACGGGCAAGAAACGCCTGGGCCTTATCTTGGTCAAGGCTGGATTTGACGGAAGTCGGGGAAATTTGGACCAGAAGGAGTCGAGGCAATGGACCAGCCAGGGAGAAGCGATAGAGCCAGGATTGCACCATGGCGTTTAAGTCAGCCAATGGGTTGGGATATGACAGGCTGGTCGGATACGAAGCCCAGCAGCAGATGGGGTTGCAAGCTTGTGATATGCCCATTTGATCCATTTGCCACCGGGGGTTTTAGTTTTGGTTTTGCTTTTCTTTCTTCGTTTGCTGCATGTGAGCTGGAGCTGGAGCTTTCAGCAGTTCCAGCTCGAGCTGGTGGAGGAAGACAAAAGGAGAGAATATAGGCTTTCGAAAGAGCTTTCAACAAGAATAATAACACGTGCAGGCGAAGGTACACCAGATTAGGTTTCGTATGCAAGCAATTTAGTTGCCCGCCTCTGTTAACCATGCGATAAAGTCATTGTACTCGTATCACTCAACCTCGAGCTGGGTGAGTGAGTGAGTGGAGTGAGTGAGTGGAGATAAGCCGATCTACCAACACGAGGGAAAGGGCGATCCCCGAGGATATCAATCACATCACATCATTATCAAGCTCGGGGAAGATAGTCTATCACCTTCTCATTTACGGACTACGGACTACATACAAGAAATACTCACCCACCTTTACTATCCAAATCTTCCTTAGGAAAGGAAACGGAGCGCACAAGACTCCCCGCCAATTACCCAATAGCCAAGTCTCCATGCGCGAGTCAGGCGTCCTTTATTCGAAATGAATCCTGGTCGGTTGCCTCGATACCGTGGACACCCGAGGTGGTGCCTTCCAGCAATCAATCATATGAGCACTATCCGTAACTATCCTGGAAACTCGAGGAAGAAAAAGTATAGATACAGCACTTCGGTGTGATTCGTTCTTATAATCTCCGGAGTAATATGCGCCATGGGTTCTGTTTGGGAGCCAGGGACAGATAAGTGTTGAGCCACAGCATAAACGCGGTTCCTACCATTCATCTCCAATCTCCCCTGTTCGTATACGTATACGTGGTCTGCAAGCTGGTCAGGGGTAAGGTCCAGCTTTCAAAGGAACTACTGACAGCATACGTTACGCTAGGGTAGAGGAGGAGCCGGGGTTTGCCTTGCGCTGCGGTGAAATCTCATTTCTATCTATGCATGGTCTGTCTGTCTTTGACTAAGTCAGTTAGGTTAGGCTCCAGGCAAATGGCCCAATATTACAACAGCCCAAAGAATCTAGATTTCCCCGAGGATACCGCCAAGAATCTCCCCCCGTCCCCGATTTCAGTTCTGGCTCACTTGCTCTCTCACCGAGTTAATGCTCTCCCCTTTGTGGAGACCACCGAGAACGGTTCGAATCTCCCGTAGGAATCGGGTGACTTCCTCTTCCGTGCCCACAGTGATTCGGAGACAGCCCTCACATCCGAGTTCCTTACCCCGGAAGCGCACCACAACACCACGCTTCTCGGCCATGGCTTCATAAGCCGCCTGAGCGATCACATTGCTGGGCTTGCCACCTTGGCTGGCCGGCTTGTCCAGGATCTCCACCAGAAGGAAGTTGGACTCCTTCCCGCCGCGGAAGCGTCCGATACCGGGGATCTGCGGCAGCTCCTGGACCAGACGGTCGCGCTGGGCGACAATCAGGTCGCGGTACTTCTGCATCACGGCCTGGTGGGTCGGGGAGAGCGCCGCGGTCGCAAGCGCACTCGTGGGGCTGGAGATGTTGTAGGGCGCCTTGAGGCTGTTCAGCAGCGTCGCGATCGGGGGGCTTGTGAAGCACACGCCCAGTCGAATGCCCGCCAGGCCGAAGGCCTTGCTCAGTGTCTGCATGACCGCCAGGTTGGGCCAGTCATTGACCCATTCGGCCAGACTCGAGCCCTCCGGCGCGAAGTCGATGTACGCCTCGTCCACCACTACGACACCGTTCCACGTCGGGTGCTCCAGCACCTTCTGGATGTCCGACTTCTTGATCAGGTTGGCAGTGGGGTTGCCGGGGGAACAGATGTACACCAGCTTGATCGAGGGGTCCGCCGACAGGGTCTCGTTGATCTTGTCCGGCTGCAGCTGGAAGTCGTTGTTCACGTCCAGTGGTACCTGCACGATCTCGATATCATTGGTCTGTGCGCTGACACTGTACATGCCATACGTAGGGGGGCACGTCAGGATCTTATCCTTTCCTGGTACGCAGAAGCAGCGCAGGAGCGCATCGATCGCCTCGTCGGATCCGACGCCGACGAAGAGGCTTTCCGGGCGGAGGGTCTTCTGAGTGTGGTGGTGGGTGTTGCGGAGGTTGCAGAAGAGCTGCTTCAGTTCGATCTGGTGGCTATCACATGTATTGTCTCAGTGACCGAGAACCTTGCAATTGATGCGTGGTAATGGCAGAAAATGTGATTCAAACGGAGTCATCTCCGGCGGAGACTTACGGGTCGGGGTAGCGGTTCAATCCCAGAAAATCGATTTCGGGCTTGGACGATCCAGTCGAGTGCTGCAGAGCACCTTCCGAGTCCAAGGCGAGACCCGGACCGTAGGCATTCTCGTTGGCGTCGAGCAAGATGTTCGTTCCGTCGTCCTTGTAGTCACTGACTCATTAGTCCGGTCCCGGTCGGAGATTGCTTGCGGGGGAGGGAGGGGCAGAACACACTCTCGGGCGCAGCGATACGGCTGTAGCTTAAGAATGTTGGGGCGCGCGCATTTTTGGAGGTCAAAAGGGGAGTTTCGTGAAGTCATCTTGGTGGATTGGTTGTTGCGACAAAGCAGAAATCTTTGTAGAATGAAGGAAGAAGACGGACGGGGAGGGGCAGTGGCGGCGGGGGAGTCAATCGTCGGAACCGGTGTCGGAAGTGGATTGCAGGTACCGCTGCATACCCTTCCTTTATATGTATGACTCCTTCCCTTCAATTATACTCGCTAGCTACGTAGTATTCATGACCGTGCGGATGTTCCATGACTCACTGAGACTACTAGGTATCTTATCTTTCATATCCAAGCTTCTCCTTAGTTGTCTCGTATTTACTCGCTAATCTAACCATCACTGGACACATGCATCAGTGGAATGGAATCCTGATGTAGAATGTGTCAATGCACGCGCACAATGACTATAGTCTAACTTTATGTTTGATTGCACATTGCTTTTTCTATACAGCATCCTGAGTAGTCCTGTTCTTCAGTGGTGGGGACTCTGGAGGATATACTAAACACACATGTCCCGACCAATACCATGTAAATTCATCAACGCCTCACTATGCCTTCAGCCATATCCCCGATGTGTCTATAAAACGTTACCCGCGCTTTGAACAAGATGAAGTGGTATGAGCACAGTGCGATGCAATTCGTGACATCCACTTTTTACTCTTCTTTCTTGGAACTGTCCGCCGAAGGCGCATCCGACGAGGCACTCTTTTTGCCCGACTTGCGGTATTTTTCTATCTTCTCCCATAGGTAATGCATGGTCCGGCTGAACCCGGAAGTGAACAGGCCCTTTATCGACTGAACGGTACTTGGCCAACGGATCGTCTTGCTGATTGCAGCCTGCACTTTCTTCGGGAGCTCTTCATCAGCGGCAATGCGCTGCTCAAACGGACCGCCCTGTCTCCGGCGCAAGTTTTCATCAGTGTCGTTATGCTCCTTCATCATTGTGTTGAATTCCGCTCGCGGGATCTGATAGAGTGACTGGAACTGGAAGTAGAGCTTCTCACGGAAGGCATCCGGGAGACGGCGAACCATGTTGCCACGCTTGACAGGGTCCATATCCTGAGTGAGCCGCACATTCGTCTCCGGGTCGTCAATCCAGTCGTCCTGCGTACACCGGGGATCATTGAACGTCACATTGGGGAGGTTGTCAATGAGGGGGGCATAAAGCCGTCTAAAGTTGGCCATTTGCGAAGAAACAATATTGTTGACCTTGCGAGGATCCTCTGCCGGCAGTGACATGCGAAGGTCTCCCATATAGCTGATTCCTGCGATGGTGCTGTACAATTGGAACTCGGTGAATTCGGCGGGCAACAACAGAAGAGCCACCCGGACCGCTGACAGCAAGTTCATTTGGTTTGCTAGTCGCACCTTCGGGTGGTCACGCAAAATCTTGACAGGCTTCTGTAAGCGGCCCGCGATGTATAGTGTGTCCCACTGGCTCAGATCCTGGCAAAGTGTGTCAATGTTGACCACACCGTACTTGATCAAAGTGCCATTGACCGTAACGAAGGGGTTGAAGTAAACACCCGCTCCAAATCGGTCTTGCACCTGCGACACTGCATACGAGCCCAAGGAGCCCAGTCCAGAATAGTGATCCCGGTGTTGAGCCAAATTCAACGAGTGCCAATGCTGTGAATATGATACGCCAAAAATGAAATCGATCATCTTGCCATTGCCCTGTTGCATGTTCTTGATAGCTGCTGGGGCTGACGGATGGCACTTGCCGGAGCCAGGAGCGCTTCCTGTCTGCTGAAAGACGCCCGACCCATAGGCAAAAGCATACCGAATAGGCGCCCGGAACTGCCAAAGAATCTGTCGCAAAGCTTCCTTGAATTCCTGGTTGATGATCATATGTTGATTGACACCAAAATCTTTGGACGGCAGCTCAGCAAAGTCTGAAATGGCTAGATTTGGGTTGATATCCCAGTCGCCGGGGTCGTGTCGCTGTGACGAGGTAGAGAACGAGGCAGCCGACGAAGGTAGCAAGAGCCCATTGTCAGTCGTATTTGTGTATTGCCCATTACTCCTCCGAGGGGCGCATCGGCTATAGGGCGATGGAACACTGCTGGGAGAAAGTGTTGAGTAGGAATCATTGGAGAAGGAACGGAGGGAACCCGGAATTGCTGGGCTGATTGAGCGCAGGCGCACGTAGGAGCCTGAACCGTTGTTCAGAAAGAGAGTCTAGGGGCGGATGATTAGACATCCACGCTGGATTCCTCAGTTGCTTGTCAATCAGACAGTGCTTACAGTAGCGCGCATTGTCGCGATTCCCGGTAAGGGGTGGAAAGAGCACAGCGATGGCTGTAAGTGTCGCACAATTCAAGGAGCATCAGAGTTAAAGATCTCAAACCATGGTCGAAGACGGGTGAAGAAATGGAGGATGAGGTCTGGTAAGTGAGAGGGTGATATAAGGAAGTGGGGGGGACAAGTGACAAGTGGAAAGAAAAGGTATATACGGCGGGCAACAACAATAACACTTGGATTAGTCGAAAGCCGACGACAAATTGCGGACGGACGGACGGGGGGGGAGAAGAAGGAGGTGAGGGACTGCTGTCTGACGTACTCCGGGCTTCCCTTCGGCTGATGTTCTCGGCCCTTTCCACTCACGGCGGCACTACAGTTTTGGGCTCCGGATGAGGAAACTGCCCGACTTCTGACACTAGCCACAATTAGTATCAGCCACAACTTTTGATCGAAATCACGTGGCTGCGCTTCTCCGCGGCGCGTTCCCGCCAACCCAAACAAGGCTGTAAACAAGAGGGCGCTTGTTGATTGTCGCACTTTTACAACTTTACATGACGGTCAGTCTCAATGTCATAATTATTCTCAGCCATGGCCCAGGAAATGGAGACATTTGCCGCTCGTCTCGCTAGTTTCGACCGGGTCTTGTACCCTGGGGGACGAAGGTCATCACTTACGCCCGCAGAGCCTATCGCTTGGCCTCACAGTAGGCCTTCACCGGCGGAGGTATTTCCAAAAGTGTTCTCCTGCAGCAATTTCACTCGCTAACTTGCGCTTCTCATAGCTTGCTCATGCAGGGTTCTTCTACCACCCCTACGAAACGAATCCAGACAACACGATATGTTTCCTGTGCCGCAGGGCGCTAGATGGATGGGAGGAAGAGGACAACCCGATCACGGAACATTTGAAACATGCGCCGGATTGTGGGTGGGCTGTAATGATGGACATTCAACAGCACAGCTCCAATCCCGCCGAGATCGAAGACCCGACCAGCGAGCGCATTGTACAGGCGAGACAGGCTACCTTTGGCGAAGCATGGCCTCACGATGGAAAGCGCGGCTGGACTTGTCAATCGGACAAGGTGAGATTAATAATCCGAGCAAGGCGACTGTAACACGACCTCTTTCCCAACAGTTCTGACCATTGCTGTTGAATAGATGGTTGAAGGCGGATGGTATTTTTGCCCAAACGAAGAGAGCAACGACCTGGCCACTTGTGCGTACTGTAAATTGTCGCTCGATGGCTGGGAGCCAAAAGATAACCCCTTGTATGTCTCTCTCGCTCTTTCTGTATTTAACATGACTGACTCCTTGGCCTAAAGCGACGAGCATTACCGACGGTCCTCAGACTGCTCTTTCTTCGTTTTCGCTCAGCCTCCTACCACAAAGAAAGGGAAGAATTCCCGCTCGAAGAAAGGTCGCGTCTCCAAGGCGGCCCGTCTCTCGACCCAATCCACTGTTTCAGAGGGACCCATGCAGGAAGTTGACGACGACTCAATGGACCAAAGCACTATGTCGCAATCAACCACGAAATCGAAGTCGTCGAAGAAGTCAACCAAGTCCAAGTCCAGAAGCAAGAAGAAGGATGAGCAGGTCGAGGCAGGCGGCCAGATTGACGTGGACAGTACATATCAGACTCAGCCAGAACCTCCGAAAGCGAAACGAACCAGAGGCAAGAAGAGGACAAGCGAGGATATAGCCAAGGATGATACGAACCTGGATGCAGAGACCGACGAGAAACCCGAACCTCCATCCAAAAAACGGGCGACTAAAACCCGCGTTAGTGCCCAGCAACCGGAACACGAGGAACAGCCCGAGGCAGTAACAGAGGAAGCGCCCATGGAGGAAATTCAGGAAGCGAAACCAAAGAAGGGCCGCGGTACGAGCAAGAAGAAGACTACCCTCAAGAGCCGAAATGTCACGGATGATTCATCTACAACTAAGGCTCCAGCTTCTCCCGAGGCGCCTCAAGATGCGGAGCCTGGAGCAGTGGTCGAGAATGTTATGGAGCTAGGAAGGGCTAGCGTCAAGGAGCCCAGCGAAGAGCCGGCGCCGAAGCCATCGAAAAAGTCAAAGTCCAAAAAGAAAGTCGAACAGGCCCCAGAGCCATTGTATGACACAGAAGAGCACAGCGTGGAGGTTGAGCCCCAGCCGGTTGAGGAACCAGAGCCACACCTGTCACCAGAGCCTCAGCCACCAGTTCAAGAGCCCCGACAAACGAGACGTTCAAGCAAGCGACAAAGCGCGAGAAACTCGACTACTGTCAAAAAAGAGCCCCAAGAAGAAGTAACCCAGAGCGAAGCAGTAGAAGACCAGCTTTCAGAGCCCACTGCTCCCGACCGCGAGCAAGTTGACACAAAAAGGCACGAGTCGTTTGTGTCTGTGGAAATCACGACTAGGGTGCCAAGCAGGGAACCCGAAGCAGAGGTCGAGGAGAAGAATGGGAAAAGGAAGCTCAAAAGAAAGGAGTCCACCGAAAAGCAGAAGAAGTCTAGGAAATCTGCAGAAGAGCCTGTGGATGCTTTACAAGAAGATCGTGCTGCCTCCGATATTGAGGAGACGGTTCTTGACATGGATGGCCAGACGCTGTTGGGACCGAGCGAGCAAGAACCACAGGTACAGACACCTGTGCAGCAAACTGCTAGACGCCGATCATCCCGAGTACCTCCAAAGACTGTTGAGAGATACAGCGACATTCCTAAAGAGAAGCAGTATGCAACATCACTTGTCGAGTCTCGGAACTCAGGTGGTCGGTCGATCTCAGGGAATGCCGATCCAGACGATGAAGACGAACAAGAGCAAGAAACGGTCTCGCCATTACCCTCGCCGTCCAAGACTACTCCTTCGATATCGCCGCAATCGTCTGATGCGGAAAATCACCCTCCCTCCTTGAAGCCGACGCTGAAACCCCCCACGTCTCGACTGCTTGTCCCTTCCCCTTCCAAACAGCAGTCAGCTCGGATCCCATTTGCAGCCAGTACGCCATCGCCATCTAAGCGGGCTGCAAACACCGGGTCTCTCAGCAGTACGCACCCCTGGACCCCGGTGGACATCGATTCTATCATTCTGGCGGGCACGAGCGACAAGGAGAACATCGATTTCTCCGATATCCTGAACAGCACCAAGGGCGAATTGAGTAGCCAGGAGAAGAAGATGACTGTCGAAGAATGGATCAGGTGGAATGCAAAGAATGGCGAGGAGAGACTCAAACGCGAATGCGAGCGCTTGGTTAGCCAATTCGAGAAGGAAGGTGCTCGGGCGATGCGCGTATTGGAAGGTATCGAGTGTATGGATTGAGGTCTCATGGGTATCGTTGGTCAGGAGTCTTTGGGTCGGGCGAAGGGCATTGGATAATCGGTTTTATTTTCTTTCTGCTTCTGGGATAATCTCAGCGATATTGGCAAATAGGAATGCGGTCGGTACATGATTATGCTTGAGTTGTTTTCTGATATGGATATTGTCAATGATTTTATACATGCGCCTGGATAAAGGAAATCAATCTTTTCGAGAGAAGATACAGAGCCGTAAGAGCCTGAAAACCGAAACGCCGTGGGTATACTTGAGCTTTTAAGCAGCATGAACCGCCGAATCTATCCTCCTATCCTTGCCAGCAAGGCCGACCGGGAACCAGACATCCTTCCTTAGCCCCCCAACCTCAGTCTATGCAATGATCCCCAACCGACCCTCCCAGCTCTCCTCCTCCTGCTTCACGCCATTCTCGCCCCCCTTCCGCCGCTTCTCATTCCGCTTCCGCCGCTTCTCCTCGCGCTCCTTGGCATCCAGCTCCTCGCGCTCCTTCAGCCGCTCCCCAAGATCCAACTGCCAGGCGCGCCGTTCCTCCTCCTCGCGCTCCCGCTTCCGATGCGCCAGCATGCGCAGCCGCAGCCGCACATCCTCCACCGTCGCGACGGCGACCTCCCCGCTCTGGCCCGTCGCCAGCAGATGCTGCTTGCTGTTCAGATGCTCCACGAGCTGCAGGTTATCCTTGAAGGTGAGGTCGCAGTCGGCGCAGTAGAAGCCCGCCCCGCGGCCGCGCTTCCCGACCGCCGCCCCCGCCGCCACCATCGTCGTCTTGCCGACCATCGAGGCCACGTCCAGCCGCTGCGTGCGCGACGTCGTCGCCTCCAGCGTGCTGTAGTCCACGGGCGCATGCCATTTCTTGCCCAGCAGCTTCGCCTCGTACCGCGCCTTGGCCTCCTCCTTGCGCCGCGTCTCCTCCGCCGCCGCCTTCTTTGCGTACTCGTCCCGGTCCCAGGTCTTGCGGAAGGCTGTGTCCGAGGCGGGCGCGCCGCCGTAGGCGGAGTCTTTGTTGCTCATTTCTGTTGGAGGCTGTGTGGTTTTGAGCGGGTTGAGGCGTGTAATGAGAGAGTCCGGAGGTGGTGTGGGTTGTGTGTAGTTGGTTTGTGAGGCGAGGTTGAGTTACTGGGGTTTGTGGAGAGAGAATTGTCGTGAGTTGTAGTTATCGTAAGAGGTAATAGTTGCTGAGGCAAATGGATGGATGCTAGCAATATCGAAGCGGTAGGCGGTGGACAAGCGGTCTTCAAGTGGGGCGCGAAGCTTGTTTGGTGTGTTTGGTCCGTTTGTCTGTTGTTGCCTCACTGCTCAGGACTCAAGCTCAGCCTCACTTATCGATTAGCCTCTCCACCTTCGCTATCGATAGGAGGAGGCGCGGGGAGCGCGAGATAGTAGCCTGATGCCTGCTTGCGTTTAACCACCTTCATGTCTACTCACTGACGTGCCATGCTGGGGAGCTAAGCAAGACTTCAAGATCGCTCGTTGTGCGTTAAGTGACCTGCTCTTCCGTGCCTAAGAAGCCGCTTAAGACACCTTTCGTGTCCCCAGTTGTTCAAAATAGTTGGACATCCTACTCTGTACCGTTACCCCTGTTGCCTACCCTTCGCTCGTATCAGCGACACCGTACAGGTCATTTCTTCTTGTTCCCACTTCCAGGCAACCAACATGACCACAAGCCACCCATAAGAGATAATTGGCATTTGTACATGGTAGCAGCACGGCTTGATCCTACAAACGTGACACGCAACTACCATTTCACAACCCATTAACTACCCACCTGAGCAGATAGCGATTGTTTACTCTTCAGAATCCCAGCATCATACTCTGTGCCAACATCCACCAGGAAATGCAATCCACCATGGCCACAGAACCGCACACCCCAGGCCCCCAGCCCGATAAATCATACACCCTCATGGACCTCCCCACCGAGCTCCACCTCCACATCGCAACCTACCTTCGGTACCCGGACGCGCTGGCCCTGAAGCACAGCTGTCGCCACTTCTACCCGCTGGTCTACACAGGTGTCCACCTCAAGGTCGACTGGCTGGTGGAGCGCTTCGAGCGCAAGCTGGAGTGTCCGATGGAGAAGTGCTCGTTCCGCACGGACGAGTCGTTCTGCAATGCGCGGGTGCGCCGGATCATGGAGCGCAGGCGCCGGCACCTCGAGTGCCTGCGGTCCCCCGGGGGCTGCTTCGTCGTCGACGGGGAGACCTGTCAGAAGGATCTGGTTCCGACATGGCTGAAGAAGCGGGGACGGTTGCAGAGAGCGCGGTCTTGGGGGTATGAAGGTAAGTCTCGCAGATCTCAGATAGGAGAGCGGTTACAGGGACTAATACTCGCTTGTAACTAGTGTTTGTGACTGGGTTGGTTTTCCTCGTTCTAAACTTGCTGTGGCATATGTGTGGAAGGTATGTGGGCTCTGATCTATTCTTGCAGCTTGTAAACGGGACTGAGGGGCTTGGCTAGGCTGCTTCTCCTCGCGGGTTGACATTCGACCTACGGCTCTACTTCGTTCGCCTTGACCTGATCCTCTGCCCGCTATCGCAGCGTTTTGGACGCTCCGTCTTCCTCACGAGCAGCTGGCTGCCACTACCATTTAACAAAGACTTACGACACTTAATACCTTCCTTGCCATTAGCAAGATAAACACCTCCTGAATGCGGACGATCCTCGCTGGCCGACGGACTATAATCTTACCTACACTCCAGTCTCAACATCCTGTATACGACACCAACAGCATGGCTTGATACTATACAACTAATCCACGAACTTGATTCTCTCTGTAGAAATCACGTTTCCATTTCCATTCCTAGCACCTAGCACCTAGCACCTAGCACTTTCAGAAGGCCGTATCACAGAACCCCGAACAATTCCCCTAAAAACAAACCAGCCCTCCCACAACAACACCGAGTAAACTCCTCACAAAAGCCCTCACCAAAGAAAACCCCTAACAACTCCTTCCCCACGCTAAGCTCAAGCGCCCCCAACCAGTCGAGATAAACCCCATACCCTCACCAGACAACATAGCCCAGCCCCAGTTCCAGCCCCAGCACCCTGTACCCCAACTCGAAAAGAAAGCCCAACCCCCACACCGCACCATAGCCCACAGTCCCTTAAGCCTCAAACCATCCCACAACACCGAAGACAATACCGTCCCCCAGGCCCAGAATCCCCACCACCACCACCACCACCACCACCACCACCCCCCGCCGCCGCCGCCGACGCCGGCCTCGTTCCCGCCGCAGACCCAACCGCCGACCCAGACCCATTCCCAGTCTCAAACCCAAGCCCAACAGCCTGCAGATAAGCGTAAGGCGTATTTAGTGCACGCTCATGCTCAGGCTGGTGATGATGATGAGGATGATGATGATAATGGTGGTGCCCGTGGCCGTAGCCGTGACCATCTACCTCCCGCTGCGGCAGAGGTTGCTTCTCGTGCTGCTGTTGGTAATGATAGTGCTGCTGCGGCTGCTGACCCGGAAGCCTCAAAGACCCTAACTGCACCAACGACTGCGCGCGCGGCGGCTCATACCAGTACTGCTGCTGTTGATGCTGTTGATGCGGCTGATGCTGTTGACTCTGGATCTGCACCTCCCGCGTGAGGTACTGCGTCTGCGTCTGCGCTAGCGGATGCTGCTGCGGTTGCTGCTGCGGTTGCTGCTGCGGTAGCCACTCCGCGCCCAAAGCACCATACATTCTCGTCGTGATATCCTCCGGGGGCAGCGAGGGAGGGAGCGAGATGTCTTTCCAGGGGTCGGTGGGCGGGGGCTCGAGGATGGGGAGTTTGGTGGGGTGGTAATGGTAAGGATCAGAGTCAGGGTCAGGGTCATCGGATCGGGCTGTTGCTGTTGCTGTTGCTGTTGCGGGTCCGTTTGCTGTGGGGATGAGATTGCTGGTGATGGAGGAGGATGTTAGGGCGGTGATGGTGCTAGTGGAGGCTCCTTGGCTCATACTGCCCGGAGGATCGAAAGGGTCGATGGGAGCATAGCTGAGATGTTTCAGTCCGTCGGGAGGTCTGAGGAAAGCGGGGAAGCGGCCTGAGAATAGAGATGACATGGACATCCCTTGTAGGCTGTCTTTGGGATCTTGGGTAAAGTTTGCAAGGTTGGGTGTCGTATTGTTCTGGTGATGGCTTGGGAGTTGGAATGATGGGTTCTTTCCTTTTTCGGAGGGGGGGATGGGTTTGGAGATAGAGAAGTCCCCCAAATATTAGTACGTCCTTTTATCAAACTTGGTCTACGGACTGTAAATAAAGAGAGAGGTTGCGCAAAGCGGACGCGTGAAAACCAACAAAAAATCTATGTCCCTATCCAATTTGAGTCACAGGACTCTTAGACTTTAGTCAAAGTGACGTTGTTGGTTACGTCGTATGTGATAATGACGCGAAACTCCCTTTACATATCCGTGCATCACTTCATCCCTCCCTACTATGAGACTACGCGATGCAACTCCTCTGCATGACTCTTCTCCCACGGATAGTTCACCTCCACCGCCCGGATGAGCGCCTCATGCTGCTCGCTTCTGGGTTTGATGCTGATCTCGTACGGCGCCGGATGGCTGATCACCCCAGGCAGAAATTGCGGCTTCAAGTCAACCTCCTTACCGTCTTTGATGGGCTTGCTGAAATTAAACACCGCCAGGGACTGCGCTATGGTCAAATAAGCAGTTGCATCTGCGATAGTCCGACCAGGACACACGCGTCGGCCAAATCCAAAGGCTAGGAAATGCGGATTACGCTCCGGAGTGTGGTTAGCACTCGCGATGAAGCGCTCAGGCTTGAAAGTGCCTGGCTCGGGATATGTGGCTGGGTCGTGTAAGAAAGCCCTGCGCTTATCAGAATCAAGATTGATCAAGACGGCCGAACGACAACTCACCAGATGTTAGACAAGATCTGAGACCCTTTAGGAATATGATATCTACCCCACGTATCCTCCTCCATTGACTGGTGCACAACGCCCATTGGCACAACTGGGTGCCATCGGAAGGCTTCTTTAACAACAGCTTCGATGTATGGGAGATTTTCGCGGTCAGCAAACCCGGGAAGACGAGATGTGCCCACTACTCGATCTATCTCCTCTTGTGCCTTCTTTTGTACTTCTGGAAACAAGGCCAGTGCGAGAAAGAAGCTTGTCAGTGTGGATACAGTCTATCGAACTTCAGTTATTGCCCCTTTTCGCTGGGATTCGACGAGTACTTACCGTGTCAGCTCCTCCTCCATATAATGTCGCTGCCGTCCATTTGAAAGTCGTCTCCTGCTCGCTCCCAGGCTCCGGGATGCCGTTCTTTTCAAACAGCCCAGATAGAAAAGACGGCGCGTGAGCGTTGCGTGACATCTGGTCGAGAACAAATGCATATGGCTTGGCACTGAGATTGTCCGCGGCCACGCGAAATTCTTTCACTGCCTGCTGAAACCCACCCCCGGGGAACCAGGAAGGTATATGTTTTACTATATTTGTCATGTCAGAAGTCGCGCCCTTGAAAGATGCGAAGGTACGTACGAGCCGGGATGAAGTCAACTAGCCACATGCCAGGCGTGATGGATCGGACAAACTTCTCTACGCTATCATTTGCGATCTCGACGAGTGGATCCTCTCCGTCTCGTTCTATGTTGTATCCATACGCGACTTTCAGGATCACACCTCCAGCCAGTCTAGTTTTGTCAGTCCATCTCTCGCACCCCCTAACGTGCAGGAAATTCCAGGCTCGACCTACTTTCGGATATGAGGAATCAAGTCTTGTGGTGCTTCGAGCGATCGCAGCATGAACCGCCCGACTTCGGCCTCCTGGAAGTTATTGTAGCGAGCAACAGAGTTCACAGACCCAATCTGCTTGTGGAACAGCTTTCTATGGATACGCAGGGTGTCTGTGTACGCCATTGCGCTGGTCACTTCGTTGTAGCCGGACCTGCATCGCCTGTTAGCCTTTTTCTTACATTGTAGGTTGTAGGCTTACAAATGGTTGAATTGTCCCTGCGGCCGGCTGGAATGTATGGCCGAGCGCTTTTCCAGCAATTCCACTGCAATCTGCGCATCATTGATGATAATAAAAGTCTCGCCAAGAACTTGAACTGAGCTGATAGGACCTGCGCAGGTTGTTAGTTGTTCCTCACGACGTTCACGCCGAGGCTGCTCACCGTATAGCTCTTTGAACTTGAACCAATGTACCCAATCTTGTCCACCAGTGGGAGGAAGATCTAGGAGATTCCCAATAAGGGGTTTCTGTCTAGGCCCCGGGGGTAGTGGTGCAGGCGGTTTCCTGCGAGTCAGAATGACTTTGACAAGGTACGCGCCAACGAGGGTGGCGAGAACCTCCAATATGTGAAGCATGGTACCGTACTGGATGAGATTTCAACCAGGCCTGTGCAGGATCTTGCAAATCCATCGGAGGAAGGGGGGCTAGCTGCTGCTCTTATAACTCGAGAAGCGAGAGTTCTGTCGGAGCCCTTAGCATCATCGGTCGTTATGACAATCCTCAGCAGTGGGGTTTCGTGAGGTTTGAGGAGCATTGTGGCAGCGCTCAATCTCAGCGGCGCACTTTCGAGATATGCGGAGGGTAGCCCCAACTAGGAAATAGTCACACAGCGGCGCAAAGTACCAGCTGCACGGGAACCATGAGTGACAGGGGTGGCATTGGTGGAGGGGTCTGCCAGCTAGCGAGATGGGTGGGCGCCGGTCCACGGGGTGGGTGGAAAAGTACGAGCTGAGCACTGGAACCTTTGCCTATCCCACGGTTTGGATATTGAATGTCCTTTAGTGGTATACAAGATCCTGGGCTAGTGTCGTTGCTAGCTTCGCATGTGAGACAGTGGCAGCTTTCTCGCTTCATCTTGCCTCTCGTGCTGAGCAGGCAGCGGAGATGAGGGGGTCGGTGGTCGTTGGACGGGTCTGGTGGGTGAGCATCAAATTGAGAGACGATGATTTGACAAATATTGATCGATGCTCAGCGGAAGCTCCGTGGACATGTCATAATTAAACCGAGGCGGGGGTGGTGACAAGGATCCAAGCTGAAGAACTGCAGGGTGAGGTGTAGACGGAAGCGCTAACAGACCATTTGGGATGAAGTGTTTGGGAATGCACATCTGTCACACGAGGGCGGGCTGAAAGTGAAATGATGTTTATATTGAGTTTCGGGGAGGAGGTTGGTGTATTGGTGGGTGTGGTTTGGGATTTCGAAGAGTGGTTGATGATGGAGGTGTGAGAGGGGAGTGAGGGGAAGATGTTCAGATACGGAAGGAGGGAGCCTGATAAGGGAGTATCAAAAAAAATATGACCTACGCAGGGCTCGAACCTGCAATCTCTTGATTCGTAGTCAAGCGCCTTACCATTGGGCCAGCAGGCCTTGCTGTTGTAATACTGACTTACATTGGTTTACTATATTCCTTCTTCAAATTTAGCGAGTATGTGGAAGCTGATCACATCCATTGGGTCAACCTCTTTCAAAACTGAGTCGAGGAAATGTAAGGAAAGATCATGGATATTCGGATAGTGACTACCAACTATTCTAAAGGATGTTTCCATGTCTGAAGTAGGTTTCGTGGTTCCGATGGAAAAATTGTCTACCACCCGACCTCTTATATTTCTCGCGGAATCTTGAGTTTATATATCTTCACCAGACCAACGACCTTCGGTGTCTAGTATCGCCGTCATAGCCCGTAACGGAATATTGGCATGCACCCCAATATCTTGACCGATCGTCAAGAAGACCCGCCTCCCAGCAGTATCAAATTCTGGATATGCATATGTTAGTCGTGCAGATCCAGGCACTTCCGAACACCGGGAGATAAGCCCGTGCTGACCAACGCCGGTCTCCGAAACAAGCTCCACAACGGTGGCAGAATCGCGACCATAATCCAGGCCCCCCTCAAGCGCGACCTTCTCCTCCAGAGAGATGACCTTCTCAGCAACAACCGCACACACATGGCTATTGAAGACGCCTTCCTGGCGGGATGCCGACTGCAGAACACCTACGGCCTTACGGCGGATCGCCGGATCGCGGCAGAGAGTGGCGACATCGTAGAGGGGACTAATAATGCCCAGGTCTAGTGAGAAACTAGGACTCAGTCGCGGCTGGTCCCAAACGTCCCGTAAAGAGCCAACCGAATGGGCTGGTGATATAGCTGGAGAACCAACACTGCTCGAAAGTTCCACGACGGAGGCAGCCAGAGCGGTGATCTCCTTGAAGCTCGCATTGTACCTATCCCAGACGGTCGACTCCGATGAGCCAGACATATATTGCTCTAGTAACAGATTGTGCCTGAGACGATGGATCTGCAATATTTTCAAGCCTGCTTGTTCCCTCACAGTCAAGGAAGGACCACGAACCTGCTCGAAGCAGTCCAAGGCTCCGGACCACTTCTGCAGTATCTCCGTATAGCGCCGTACCAATACCTCAGGCTCATCGACTGTTCCAAATCTCGCCATAGCATTGACCATAAGATGATATTCGCGTTTAAACATGCTGTCGTAATACTCATATACATCGCGGGCCTCTGCAAGGGAGGAAAAGCACCGTGGGATGGCGACAGACCCGTATCCAGTTAACTGCGCTGAGGTTGAAGACGGATTATCCTCCTCATTTCGTGTCTGATCATAAAATCGACTTCCAGTCAGAACTCGAGACTATGTGTAACGACGGAAACAAATGTGACCTACCAAGGTGAATGCCTGTCCATGCAGTCTAACGAGGAGCATCCGCAGGTTCTCAATCTCAAGGCTCGGCACGGTAGACGGCTTCAGAAATGGATGATGATATGTCCCGGTCCTTGGATCATAGGTGACCTGCCCGAGTATCTTCACCCCATTGCGAATATGATTGACCGCGGCGATGTAATGGCTGGACATGATCTTCGCTGCTGGTTAACCACCGATACCCAAGCCACAACCACCCCCGAAAACATACCTCATAGCAAATGAAAAGAACGCAGGAAATCAGACAAACATCCACGGTGAGCCTCCTGTCGTGGCTACCACCCATATGGAGGGATGGGCTGCTGGCTGAATCCGAGGGACCTAACAGAGCTCTGATCGCCGCTAGGTACTCCTTTACTGCAAATGTATCGTGCCCCTCACGACTGAACCAGAAGCCAGGAATCTGCCGGTCATTCTCGAAATTCTCATGCAACGCACCAAGGGCGACCAGCGCGTGCCAAATAGGTTTCTCGTGCTGACTGACCTGCAAAACTGACCGGCTCCAGAGTTCCGACCCGCAGTAGCCGGCTAAAGAGAATACGGTCTTCTCGCAGAAGAACTGGAAAGATCGGATTTCGCGCTCGCTTCTCGCATACGTTAAGGTCGCGGGAGAGAGAGAAGGCCGCGGAAGAGAAAGAACCATCGGGGACAGGGAGGTTGTATGGTAGCCGTCACACTTGCGACCAGTGGAAGTGCATCTCAAGCAGCTTGGTCTGGTCTCGTCGCATTTGATGCGTCGCTCTGTGATGAGGGAGAAAAATCAACCGGCTGACCCGGAGCACTCGTCTTGTGATCTGCATGATAAACTCACTCCTACAATTTTATGTTAGCTGAGCTGTATGCCGTCGAGCGGTGGTGCGCGTAGCTTACTTGCATGTCACACATCCCGACTTGGTCCGTGTCCTATTTACTATCTGTCGCACCTGCGGAGTTGCCATCGCGAGAGGCCATGAGACTGACTAGGCAAGGTGATTGTCTTTCAAAGAACAAGGGTCAAATTAACTTGATACCCATGAACATATAATACGTGGATATGTGGAAATGTGGAAATGTGCCGATGAATGGATTGGTCGAAGAAGCAACCAGAAAGTAAGATCCGTCAACAGCGACCGGGAAGCCTATCTTCAGGAAGCACTAGTCCCCTTTGAGCCGTGGCAATATCAAGTAACTTAAGTACTAGGTATGGATATAATAGCAGCATTAAATTTAAAGAACGTCTAAATGCTTCACAAACAACTTGATAATGTCAATATTAAGACATTTGCGGAAGAACATCCTACAGCTACACACTCCATACAAAAAAATGGAACTCCGCCAGCAGCAGTTTGTCGTACGTCTGTCCCTCGTATCCAGACCTTTTCCTGCCATCACATAGCTGGACCACTGAACGGGAAACTATCCCACAGTGGCAATTCCATCCCACCCCATCCCGTGAGCGCAGCACTGTACTCGGCAGGATCTACGGCAGAATAATCATCCACACTTGGCCACGGCTCATATAGTCCGAGTTGCGAAGGATCGGTGACCCCCACGCCGACAGAGTCGACTGTTTCAGCTTGGGTTTGTGTTGAAAGGCGGCGATCATTCAGACTGAAAAGCTTGCTGACGTATCGACTCCTGGTTTGTTGCGCATTTTGCGCGAGTCGTTGGCGCTGATCATAGACGGCGTTCTTGAGCAGACTGAGAATCTCAAGGTAGTGAGCCGCCTGAGCAGATCGCTCAGAAAGCATGCGCAGGATGTCGAGGGCGTCATCGTAAGTTTCCTCCTGCGAAACATCTGCTTCTTTCTGGGAGAACATGGAGAAACCCAGGACCAGTCCAGCTGCAAAGATAAAAGCCTTGAGAATGCACATGTTTCCCAGCAAGAGACGAGATTGGAAGACCTCTGAGCATGTCTGGATCATATACACTGCTGAGTCGACGCATGCCGCTGCTAATTTGGAATATGCCAATTCCTCATTGTGTTCACCATTTTCTTCGCCCATGGGACTGCGGTTCAACTGTGCAAGCCGAAAGCCCAGAGCTGATATCAAGAAGGGACGTGTCACTATGATAACAGCGAAGTGATAGGTGCACGCGACATGTAGGTTCCCGATAATATGCTGGTGAGCCGCAGGCTGTTCATAGTCGGTACCAGGGGGCGCCAGTAATGACTCGGGTAGATCGTCACTCCAGTCCTTCAGCTTCGTCAAGAGGGCATCGGCCACCTCGACTGAGGCTGCCTGTTTTCCGTAGAGGCCAGTGATGATATCATCCAAGATCTTTGACAACCTGAAAGAAGCCACCAGGCTCCTTTCTGCCTGGCTATCGGTGTGTGACGATGAAAAAGACGTGTCTTCTGAGTCCGAACGTATTGAGGTTGTCGCAGCTGCTCTGCCGAGAATAGAACTCACTAGTAGATCCAGTACGCAGAGACTCATCCATACCCGTGCTCTGATATCTTGTTCCTTGGTTGAGACGGTCTCCCCGAGGTCGGTAAGCTGTAGTCCTAATGCCACTGCTGCGCGAACAGCTACCCCGAGATACATGAATGCTGCATTTCTGCGACAAGCGCCGAGCATGTAGTATGACATCAGAAGAAAAAGACGCACTAGGTCCAGGCTTGGATTCTCGAGCATCCCAGCAAATGCGCTGCGCTGAGCACAAGCGAAGAAGAACTTTCCAGCCCGCTCTGCTAACGGATGATGCTTTGACGCTTGCGCTCCAATAGCGATAACGATATTCAGCAGAGCTGATTTTGTTTGATCTCGAGTGCCATTAGTATCAGCGCTTGAGCCAATTGGTGCTTCCAGGAGCTGCGTCGCTTCCTCCTCTGACAGAAGATGCATGAAGCCACTCGTTGCTGCACTGTAGGCCTGAACATAGTATCGCTGCTGACGCACGTCAAATTCATCATCCAGCTCAAGGGGAATATCATCCGGTGATTCGGTTTCCAGCATGTCTTCGCTTTTCATATTGTGGGAGAACTGCGATGGTCCAATGCATTGCGTAACGGTATCTCGAACAAGTTGCAGGAAAGACAAGGATGCAGCCTTTCCTATATACACTAGAAGGAAAATTCATGAGGGGCTGGACCCTGTCAAAGTGCAGACAGCAATGCTTACCTCGTTCACCCCGAAGGTTACGCAGCATGCGAGGGTGGGTCCTGTGCGGCGTTTCCGGAGACAGAGGCCCTGGTCCTAGTGTAGACACAGCTGGTTCGGAAGACGGAGAAGGTGGGAGGTCATTGATTTGACTTCCAGAGGTTGCTAGGTCTAAAGAGATAGAGTTTCGGTTGGCAGAGATCGAGCTCGAAGGATATGCGTTATTATTGTTCCCATCTGGCCGCCGAGCACTTGCACGACGAGCCGGAACACAGGTATCGGCGCGACCAAGCCGGATGCACTTTGCACATGGGAATGTGCCACTGCATCGCTTCTTGGTCGCTCGACATGCTAAGCAAGCCTCATAGGCCCGCAGTCGATTCTCAGGGTGTACCTTCGGTCGCGGCATCACATGTGATAAGGAGGAATAAGGTGTGGGTTCAGAGACTCGTTCGGAGCTGCTGTTTCGGAGGGACCTGCTCTGACATCTGGCTTGAGCTTCACCTGAGTAAGTGCTTGTAAGTAGCTGCCACCATACATCTGATCGTGGTGGTGTGGCATGTGGTTTTGGGATTGTCGTGAGCGATGGTTGACACTTCCCCAGGAAGTTTGTTTGAGTGGTTGTATCTAGACCAAGGAGCCCATCTCCACCCACCGCTAGTTGAATGGCCAGGAGTTCGGGTAACGGCAATGGCTGACCCCACACTGCGATAAGCCCGATAAGCATGTTATCGTTGCTTCCACAGTTTACAGTGCGTACCTCCTTCTACTGTTATGAACAATTAAAACTGGTCAACAGATAAATTCACAACTAACTAAATCTCATATACCAGATACATGCTCAAGAGAGGGACAGTTTGCGGGATCTCAAATCCAAGCTGGTAGAATCAAACAAACAAAAAACAAGACTGCAACGGCCCTTCTTCGTCCTGCGACGCAGCAACGCTGCTTTCAGTCGGTGTGGATGGTGCTTCGACATCAGCTCAAGCCATCTAGGCTATCTCGCCTGATTAGAGCATCCTCGCGTACTTCTTCTATTTCTCACTCGCACACTCCTTGGCGAAGGTGTCAATGTAACTCGGAAGAAGCTTCTGCCAGACGGTGGCGTCCGAGTCAAGCTCCTTGATCTTCTCACATTTGGCCTCGGTAATGTTGAGGGAGCCAGATTGCAACTGACTGAGGTGGCTCTTGAAGATAGGTTCAGTGGCCTGGAAGGCACAGAAACCATAATCGACCAGCCCCTGGATATCGTTGCAGAGGGGCTTGTTGCCCTTGGCGGAGCAGCTCTTCTCGACGGCGGCAACGGCCTGGGTGTGGAGCTGCTTGAATTGCGCCTGCTCAGTGGCAGAGATACCCAGCTTCTGATCCACGTCCTGGATGAGCTGCGGGAGGACCTTATTTTGGACGTAGGCGTTGTGCTGGTTGATCGTGGCGGTGCAATTCTGCTCACATACTTCCTTGTGGAAGTACTGCAGGAGCTGCAAAGGCTTGTTGCCCAGGACCTTGGGGATCTCCAAGCAGCTCTCCGGGATGCTGGGCAGAGAGGGAAAAGCAGCAGCGTTGGCGGCCGAGATGACGGTGGCAGCCACCACGACAGACGAGGCACTGATGAGCTTCATTTTGGAGGGTGGAGGTGGGAAGAGACTTGTAGAAGATTTGGTTTGCTAAAGACTGTTTAGACAATTGAATTGGATTGGATGCTTGTTGATGATATCCTGAAGGTCAGCAGAGAGGGTTCTTATATATCTTCCACGGCCATAAGCCTGCCCCGAGGTCATACAATGTAGAGTATCCTCCATCATGCTACACACATCTGCTTGGGATCCGAAGCCCGATTGAATTTTTCTTGTTGTTTGAGGGTTTGTTTCAACCTGCATTGTCCCAGCACTACCAAGCATGATGCCTGGTGCAAGTCTAAGCATCGCGGATCAGTCCGAACTCTGCTCCACAAGAACCCAAGAATGAGTCGACCCTGATCGGAACAAACAGCCACCAAGGGTAGCCCGGACCCGTTGTTCGACGCCATGCGGTGAAACTGGCGAGGTGGAAGCGGCTGATCGGCGTTTCGACCAAAAATTGAAGATGACGGGAATATTCCAGAGAACCTACTATGTCTGGACGGTTGATTTGGCCGCTGCACTAAATCGTTTGAGGTGAGATCATACTTTGCATGAACCGAGGCACAGTTGGTTCTTTCAATTCTCTCAGGGTTCCCCGACGCGTCCACGGGAGATCGCTGGAAGATGGGAAATTCTCTAACAAAGGCCGAGATTCAGCCAGGCCGACCTTTAGCCCTGATGTAATCTGCACCGCTCCGACTGGCACACGAAACCAAAGATCGTCAGCCCTTGTCTGATGTTGATGATATTGTGCTGGGTTGATGGTATAGAATTGATACATCAGTTGCCGAAGTGGCCGAGCCCCCAACCGTGCGCACAGGGTTCAATAACTGAGGTGCACCGTCATGATCCAGTACCTGAAACATGAATCATGGTCAATATGTCAATACCGACTCTAAGAGCCGGCCTCAACCTCCCAGGCGACAGAAAAACAATCCGTGCCAATTTCCTAGACCGTCACTGGCAACTTTCGAAACGTCAAGCGGGCCATAGAGCAAGCGTGGCCTTGCGCCGATGACGGCGTTGATTTGTACCGAGGCCAAGGAAACTCAAGGCCACTTAGGAGACTTCTAGATGTGACATGGAACTTCGAATGAAGACCCCTCTCGTTGCAGGGCCGAGGACTTGCACCAAATCGATTAGGCGGGCCATCAACACTCTGCACTGCAGTGGGGAGTAACCAGCAGAGTGCCTCGGGATAGCTGCCTCAGGCATGACGTAGTGCCTTGCTTAGCCAGGCAACAACCACAGGCCACATCCCATTACCTAACGAAAAAGAGAACCACGACTCACCGGCGAGAAAATCCAGGTACCGACACAAGCGAACCTAATCAAAGCCAGAAGCTGCGGGAACACGCAAATTTTCCAGGGCCCGCATTGGCTCAACCAAAAACCCCCAAGCAAACACAGCAAACCCACCTGACCTCGCTTGTGGCTAGCGCGGCCGCCCCCCCGACCACCACCATATAAAAACCTCCTCACCCCCCAACTATTTTGAAAATCAAGCGACTCTACGTGAGTGATCCCTCCCCCTACCTTGAGCATTCTTCCCACAGGATCGCTCCAGCAACAACCATCCCACAAACAGTCTCACTAACCATCTTCTCCGCCCACAGTTCAAAGAATCACTTTAGAGTAGACGTCCCACCTCTGAGCTCTTCTAAAGAGCCACAGAATCCTCACCCTTGCTGATGACTTCTATGTCCTCGATGCCCTAAAGTGAAGCCGTTTTTACTTCCGACTCGACCTTGCTTGTCGCCGCGCTCTGTTACGACTTGTCTTCGGACGGGCTTGTTCCGGGCGATTGGTCTTGCTTTTGGTCCAGGGAGTGGTGATGATCTTTACCTTGTCGTGACGTCTTGACTTCGGTCGGTCTGACTTGGTGGGCGTCGAGGAGGTCTGAAAGGTGTCTACCCCTCTTTTTACACTTTATGTTGGTGTTATATCATTAGAGGTTCGAGGTCTTTTTGCTCAAACTTGTCTGCTGTTATGGATTCAATTCAAATTATCATTGGTCATCAAATACGCATCTTTCCACCTATTGTCGTAAACTTGTGTGTAGCGCGTTGGCGACCATCGTCGAGGTCACCGTAGAATTATTTTATTCTCTCAAGGCCGAGCCCTTTGCTGCCTGTATAGTCTAAACCGTTTCTTTCGCGAATCACATGAAGACAACGACTGCTCATACGCTTCAATGCTTACCGACTACGAAGGGATTGTGAAGGCTGCATGTACCTTCGTCTGCATACTCGGTATTCTCTTTCATTATTCATAGATATGTAGCAAATAAGAACACCGCAGTGTGTTGATGTCACGTCGGATCGTTTCTTCCTGAACCAAAACAGTCTGCTTGTATAGAACAAGCTTCGCCAGGAGAGGGTGTGTCCATGGTAACCACTGCAGCTTACCGAGCAGATAGCCTCTGGTTGACGGAATCATGGCCGTTAACAGCAACTTCTCACGTCCCAAGGCCGGCAAACACTAATGCCGTATGTGTGTGTGTGCATGCAGAGGGGCCTCCGGCATCCCAGCCTGATGGATCAGGTATGATAGAAACCTGGCGCCAGATGCTCTGTGCATGTGAACAGGTTGAAGGTCCCGTCCAGAAAGCGAGTCGTCCATGTGTGATCTGTGAGACTCATGCGCGTTACCCAACAACATCGAGACGCTATCGCTCTAGATGATCTTTGCAATCGAGTACAGCACACCCCTCGCCTCTTACTTGCCGTCCGCATTTCCCTTGTTCTCAGAGTTGTTGCCGGCGTTGGTATTCGCATTGCCGCCGCCGTTACCCTTCGAGCCGCCTTTGCCTTTGGAGCCTCGACCACCACGCGGTCCTCGGGATGAGTTTCCTCCGGATCTGCCCTCGGTGGCCTTCTCGCCCCGGCTGTTATTGGCGTTGCCTCCCGCAGTAGACTGCTGCGATTCACCCCCACGACCTTTTCCGCGACCCTTCTCACCGCCGGGGTTTGCCTTTCTCTCCAACACAACCACCTGACTCTGGGCGACGGTGACGGGGCTTGCAGCAATAGCTTTCTGGAGTCCGTCTGGCTCAGCGAAATCGACATAGCCGAAGCCCTTCTTCTTGTCGATTTCAACCTTCAGGACTTTACCAAAGGGAGCGAATGCAGTTTCCAGCAACGGCTCAGTGACACCTTGGGACGGGTTGGCGTGCTTCAGGAAGGCTTGGGTGGCGGTGGCTGCCGGGCCGGCCGATGCTTGTTTTCCTTTGGCGGGCTTGGAAGGTTTCGGGGTTGTGCTGACGGGAGGAGTGCCCGCTTCCGATGGCTCGTTGGGTTGTTGCTGAGCGTGGCCACGATCCCGACCCCTGGAGTTCTGCGAAGAATTGGCACCCTTCGACGACCTGCTGGAGACCTCCTTCTTTGGCGGTTCGGGGGTTGCGGCGTTGACTTGTTCCTTCTTCGCGGCGTCGGAATCCACAGAGGCACCCTTTCCGCCGCGTCGACGGCCGCCGGATGGAGCTAATCCAAGATCGCGCTGGAGAATCTTGGCAGCAGCAGAGATATTACCACGTTCCCTCTTCCGTTCCGTTGATGGCTGGGGTGCGTCCTTGGGTGCGTCCTTGGAGGCGGACGACTTTGCAGCCTGCTTGGATGCGACACTAGCGGCCTGCTTGCTCGCCACCTTCACAGCTTCCTTGGTAGCTCTGTCGGACCTGCTCCTCCTATCCGACTTCTCTACAGCGGCCGGCTGAGCGGAGTCTTTATCGGGCCGTTGAAGCAGCCTTTTTGCCTGGACCTTCTCCGACTTCGAATCCTTGTCTGACTTGTGGCGGGAAGACTTGCTGGACTCCTTAGCTTTGTTGGCCTTCTTATCCTTGATATATTGAACCAAGGGCGTAATCGTCACCGAGTCTTTCTTGTCCTCTGCATCGGCAGCCGAGTCAATCGCAGCTGGCTTGGTTATCGGCTGGGTAAGACTCTCGAGGAAGGCGATGAAATCGGGATCCTGATCAATAGTTCCCTGGCGAGCATCCTTGCGCGAACGACTGCCGGGGATCTTGGCGAACGGCGCAAACTCCAACGAGGGTGGTCCCAGCAGCACAGGGTCATTGAAAGTGTTGCGCGTATCCTGGAATGGCGTTTGGCGAACCTGAGTGGAAAGCGGCAGGGTATAATCGTTCGAAACGACGTGGATGTAGGCTCGCGAGGGCCGAGAAGGTTTGGCTGGACTGTTTGCAACCGTCAAGTTAGCGAAAGGATGAGCCCATAGCAAAAAGAACCTTACTCTTTGGACACTTTCCCCGGCTTGTAGAGAAACCAATCGACCTTTCCAGCTCCGGTCTTCCATTCGGGGCCGAGAGCTGTCTCGAATTCGGCTTTGGTCAACCCTGGCGGAAGCCGTCTGATGATGAGCTTCAGTCGCGGCGCTGGAGGCTTGGGAGCTTTTTTAGTTGTCGCAGAAGCAGTCTTTTGAGTCGCAGCCACCGGAATTTGCAGGACGCCTCCTGCAGACTTGCCGTTTGGGGTCTGCGTCATGGTGGATATACCGACTCTTTCGGTCTGAGCGACCCCCGCCCTGGCCAAGAGTGCGACCGAAAGAGTAGTTCTTGTTGTGGGACAAGGTGTATTAATTGAGGATACAATGTGTACGCCGGTGATATGTTGAGGGACGTGGAGTCTCGGAATAACCACACCCTTGAGGTTCAGCTCCAGAAATGAGCGGTGTTGTTGTCGTGTGGAAATGTTAAGCTGATAACCATCGGATGGCGAGATCCCGACAGCGAGTGCACGTGACTGGCGGCCATGCCCAACATCAATCACATCTTATTCACCCTGCGGGGAAGAACCCGCTAATGCGCATCCAGCTCAGCATACTTGGTGTGTCCCGGTGTATGCGAGCCACTTTCCTTTAGACCTCCTCGTTGTTCGCTCATTATACCTCCTCACAAGTTGCCCCTCATTTATCCTTTTGTCTTCCTCCTTCCCACCTAGTACCCTTCTCTATCGCGACCCTCTGTCCCGCAGCGTGGCATTAGCAGCATCATGGTTGACAGTAAGGTCCCTCAGCCGGGACCGGCCAAGTTGAAGCGCAATGCAGGCCCCGACGAGTGGCTTGAAGCAGCTAAGGACTGCAAGTACCTTTCCGAGGCCCACATGAAACAACTTTGCGAGATAGTGAAGGAGTTCATGATGGAAGGTAGGCCTTCATCCGAGATCGGCCGCGTTCCTGGAGGCAGAGATTGACGCAACCGCCCGTCCCTAGAATCGAACATCCAGCCCGTCTCAACCCCGGTCACAATCTGCGGAGATATCCACGGCCAATTTTACGATCTGCTCGAACTATTCAGGGTCTCCGGTGGAATGCCTAATGAATCCGAAGTCGAACCGCCCAAGACATCTCCCTCAGTCATCACGTCCGAAGATATTGAGCCCCCATCCACCATTAGTGACCCCAAGCTACGGAAGAAGCTCAGAAATTCAGGAGGTGGGGAAGGCGGCGACGACACAGTCTCGGTCAGCAGTCAACGGGGTCGATCTTCGAGCGCAGGGTCGAATGAGGTGACTCTGAACCGCAATTTCGTTTTCCTTGGCGACTACGTCGACCGAGGGTATTTCAGCTTGGAGACCCTGACGCTCCTACTCTGCCTCAAGGCTAAGTGAGTGTCATGTGTCTGTCAGTATCGACGATCTTTCGGATCCTAACAGCTACCCCCCTGTTTAGATACCCTGACCGAGTCACGCTGGTGCGTGGTAATCACGAATCCCGCCAGATTACCCAAGTATACGGCTTCTACGAGGAGTGCTTCCAAAAGTACGGCAACGCCTCTGTGTGGAAGGCTTGCTGTCAAGTCTTCGACTTCATGACGCTAGGCGCTATCATTGACGGCAGGGTGCTGTGTGTACACGGAGGACTGAGTCCGGAGATCCGGACGCTTGACCAAGTCCGTGTTGTCGCCCGAGCGCAAGAGATCCCCCACGAGGGTGCCTTCTGTGACCTGGTGTGGTCGGACCCGGATGACGTTGAAACTTGGGCTGTCAGTCCACGAGGAGCCGGTAAGCAAGCACCCTCTGCTCTATCCTTACCGAAACATCGTGCTGACCGTCGATCTAGGCTGGCTCTTCGGCGACAAAGTTGCCGACGAATTCTGCCACGTCAACGACCTGACCCTGATAGCGCGAGCGCACCAGTTGGTGAACGAGGGCTACAAGTACCACTTCACCAACCAGAATGTGGTCACGGTGTGGAGTGCGCCCAACTACTGCTACCGCTGCGGCAACCTCGCCTCGGTTTGCGAGATCAACGACGACCTCAAGCCGACGTTCAAGCTCTTCAGTGCAGTCAGCGACGATCAACGACATGTTCCGACATCGCGGCCGGGCCGCAGCGAATACTTTCTGTAAACTTATGACGTTGCTATTTGATTTATGGGGCATGCTTGGTCTCCGTGGATATCTCCAGGGTTTTAACCGCACCGGCGCTGGCGTTGGGGAGTGAATACAGGATGGTGCTCACGCTCAAGTTGGGTTATGGGCGAAGGGATGGACTGCATACATAACGACCGTGGATCTTAATGAAGTCATTGTTACCAATTCTATAAAGCTTTTTTGTTTCTAGGATACTCGATAGTCTTTGGGGAGGGATGAATTGGATAATCGTTGGCGACTAAACAGATTCCCCCCTAGACAAAGACATGGGCGATTGCATGGTGCATCATTCCTATGAGTGCACAGACCGTAGCGGTAGCATTGACACTTTCTTTCCCTTCCTCATCATGGATCTGACTGCAATTTATCGAAAATAGTCCGGCGAACCCGCAAAATCGCGGAGGCGACAGCGGGCTCCACCTGATTGGAGCACAGCGCGACCGAGGGCCCCGGCTCCTCAACCGAGCCCCGGAACTGATTCCGGGGTACAGCACGGCACCTTGACACTCCGACACCACCCACTCTCAAGCACTGTATACTCTCATCGGGACGCATTCCGGCCACAAGGTATATATCAACACGAACAATGGGCTCGCTCAACCAAGACCCCCTCCCCCTTCCTCCTCCTCCTCCTCCTCCCACCTCATAATACTCTGACACATTCTCCAATAACAAAATGACCGAACAAGTCGACGTCCTCATCTGCGGCAGCGGCTCCGCCGGCCTCTGCGCGGCGACCTGGCTAGCGCGCTACGGCCTGCGGTGCAAGGTGCTGGAGCGGCGCGAGGGCCCGATGACCATGGGCCAGGCGGACGGGGTGCAGTGCCGGACGGTGGAGATCTTCGAGAGCTTCGGGTTAGGCGACGAGCTGCTGCGCGAATCGTACCACGTGCTGGAGGTGGTGTTCTGGGCGGACGAGGATGGGTCCGGGCGGATTCGCCGCACGGGCAGGACGGCGGACACGCAGCCGGGCCTGTCGCATCAGCCGCACGTCATCCTAAACCAGGCGCGGATCAACATGTTGTTGATCGAGGCGATGCGGCGGTTCAACGGCCAGGAGATCGATTATGGGTATACCGTGCAGGGGGTTGAGGTGGATAGTACCAAAGTCAAGGATCCCGAAGCGTACCCGGTTACGGTGACGGCGGAGAAGGCTGGGAGGGTGGAGAGGTTTGAGGCGAAGTATGTTATGGTATGTATCTTCTTGTGGGGACACATTGGTGAGGTGGTTGGGATGGGGGCTGATCTTGCGATGATATAGGCATGCGATGGTGCGCATAGTACCGTGCGGAAGGTATTGGGCTATAACATGGTCGGGGATAGTACGGACGCTGTTTGGGGCGTGATGGATATGGTTCCCCGCACGGACTATCCCGATATTCGGAAGAAGTCGACGATTCGCTCGAAAGCAGGTAACTTGTTGATTATCCCTAGAGAAGGGGACAGCGACAACCTGACGCGGTTCTACATCGAGCTCCCGGCGGGAACCAAGGCCAAGGATGTCAGGCTGGAGGATCTGCAGCAGGCAGCGAAGAAGATCTTGAGTCAGTATCGGATCGAGTTCGTCGAGACGGTGTGGTGGTCGGCGTATGCGATCGGCCAGCGTCATGCGGACTGCTTCCACAAGGACTACCGCGTCTTCCTTGCGGGAGATGCCTGCCATACTCATTCTCCCAAAGCCGGGCAGGGAATGAATGTCAGTCTCCAGGATGGGTACAATATGGGCTGGAAGTTGGCGTCGGTTTTGAAGGGGCTGGCCCCCCCGTCTCTGCTAGAGACGTACGTGCTGGAGCGGCAGAAGGTGGCGATTGATCTGATCAACTTCGATCGATACTTTGCGAAGCTCTTTTCGTCCAAGGGGGACGCATCGCCCCAGGAGTTCCAGGAGGGGTTCATCAAGTCCGGGAAGTATACGGCTGGTCTTACGGCCAAGTATGACGAATCGTCTATTACTTCCGACACGGAGGTGTCGAAGGAGCTCTCGACGAATGTCGTCGTGGGAATGAGGCTGCCCAGCGCACAGGTGGTGCGCTTCTGCGATTCCAAGCCGTTGCAACTCGCTACGACTTTGAAGTCGGATGGCAGGTGGAGGGTCATCGCCTTTGTCGGTGATCTCAGTATTGCCCAGAACAAGACCAGATTGGATGCTGTAAGTGATGTTTCTCCTCACTGAACTGGGCATCAAATTAACACCATACAGCTGGGAAGCTATCTTAGCTCGAGCGACAGTCCCCTGCAGACTTTCCGTCTGGAGGGAGGCGACGCAGACAGCTTGATCGAGCCGATAATGGTTGGATACGGCCCGCGACACATTGTTGAACTGGAGGAGATTCCCTCATGTTTTTACCCTGTTACCGGCAAGAACCAGACAAGAGGTGAGTCCTCTGGCCCCTTTGGTACATACTTGCTAACAAAGAGAAAGACATTCATAAGATATTCTTCGATGATGAAAGCTACAACAAGGGCCATGGACATGTTTATGAACATCTGGGGATTAGTCCTGAGCGGGGAGCAATTATCATCGTCCGCCCTGATCAATGTGAGTTTCCTTACCTTTACCGTTAACGAAAACAGGCATTGACATAGATCCAGATGTTTCGACAGTGCTCAGCCTGGACGACTATCGCCAGATCGGCCAATTCTTCTCAGGATGTCTACTACCACAAGCAGAACCCAACTCTGTGCCAGAAAGCAAGCTATAGAATCTCAGACGAACTCCCATGATGATAAACCTGTACCATAACCACATCCAAAATACCTACAATGCACATACCATACCATACATCGACCAATCTATAAACGAAGATGCACCCGCAAATAGTACTGTACTTTTCAATCTACCATACACCACAAACCTATCAAGTCCACCATCAAACTCCATCACCACCACCCCATCCCCAATATCCAGAAACCTAACACCCCCTCAACCCCCTCAACACCTCAAACCCCCTCAGCACATCCCCCCTTGCTCATTAATAAACCCCACCCCCAGCCTGCCAGCCCCGCCACTCGCCTTCCTCTTCCTCCCCTTATCCCTCACCACCCCACGCACCTCCCCTTCCCCGACCCACACAAAAGCCTGATGCTCCCCCTCTGCCAATTTCACGGTTGCCTCCCAGCCCGCCGCGACCGCCTCCCGCACCTCCACCAGAAACGTCACCTTGGTCTCCTGCAGCAGCACGCCGCGCTTCATCTTGGTCCACTCGTCGACACAAACCAGATCCACGAACCGCGACACGTGGAACCCCGTCTCCTCGCGGACCTCGCGCGCCACGCCCGCCAGCACAGTGGCGTCGCGGACGGGGTCGATCAGCCCGCCCGGGTTCTCCCAGTGGCCGGGGTAGGAGTCTGTGATGCTGCGTTGGAGGAGGAGGGTTTTGGGCTCGGGTTCGGGTTCGGGTGAGAGGCTGTGGGGCTGGTGGTCGTCGGGGGTCGTGCCAGGGGTTGTTGCGGGGGTGGAGGTTGTGGATGATGTAGTGGATGAGGAGGAGGAAGTCGGGGTCTGTGGGGATTGTGTTGCTGCTGTTGCTGCTGTTGGGGTGGGTGATGAGGGGGAGGGGGATGGGAATGCTGATACAGGCGGAGGTGTAGATGCTGTCGTCGTGGATACTGTCTTCCCTTGCGCTGCTCTTCTTGAGCTCGTTGTAGGAGCAGAAACAGAAGCAGATGTAGTAATCGAAGTCACAGCGTCCGGCACGGTGGTCGAGAAGATGAACGCACTGCCGACGATGTTGTGGAACTGAGGACGGGCGGCCGCGAACGCGGACAGCGGGATGTTGTATTCCTCCAGATGGGGAGGCACAATGTATGGGATTGGCAGTTGTTGTTGCGGGAGCATTGTTGTTGTTGTTGTTGTTGTTGTTGGTGTAGTAGTAGTAGTAGCTTGCGGGTATTGTTGTTGTGGTTGATGACTTGGGCTATACTTCGGTACCGCTGCAAGATATAGACATTAAATAAGTTTCAAAGACTCTAATGTAAAAGTAAAAGTAAATGTATAAGTAGATGTGAAAGTTAAAAAACAAATTCAAAACTACAAGAATCCGACCTGGCATTGCCAGTGTTGATAAACTTTTCCCTCTCACCTCCTCTTCGTCTCGATTCTTTCGGTGTGCATCACAAAAAAGTAAGAAACCACCAGTTGTTGCTTTTCACAATCTGGCGGTCAAGGAAAGATTCACCCGTCCCTTATTTTCCCATCAACATCAACGAAGGATTCAGCTAATTTTAGGCCGATCTGATGGATCTCACTTCTTCAAATGCACCAGTCTTAAAATTCAGAGCAGAAATTCAAGAAAAAAAAATTAAGATTTGGAAAATCAAATTAAGGTGTGACAAGTGACAGTGACAGAAAAGAAAATTGCCATCCATGTTTATTGAGCTATATTATATTCCATGTCCATTCCTCCCTTCCCCTTTCAATTGATCTATCGAAATGGGTTTGTAAATTTCACTCACTCAAAGTATGCCCAATCTTTTGGTCCAACACCACCAAAACAACACTTTGTGTCCTAATTTGTTGTGTTTCTGTTTCTCCTGTACTTTCGTCTCTTTCCCTCTCTTTGTTTCTTTTTTTCTCATTTATCATTTTTTCATTTTCAGTTTCCTTTTCTCACCTCACACACGATACCAACGCACCATTTCCCTTCCCAACCCAACGGGATCCCTCCACACCGACTTCCTCACCACTTCTTCTGCCTCTCCCTCTTTGGCACATACCACCACATCGGTGAGATTTTTGTCTCGACTCGCCTGTTCACTTTCCTCTTGCAGCTTCTGTTGAACCTTCCACCCTCGCACAAACCACAAACATAGCGCCGCCGCGATGTAGAGGATCCCCGAGAAGACCTGCACCGGCTGGTAGGCCGCCGTGCCCCATGCCGGCCGCCGCAGCGCCTGCGCGATCGCCTCGCCAAACGCCCCGGGCGAGATCAGAACGAGCCAGAGGATGCTCAGCGCGCCCGGCAGGTCTTGCAGCCCAATCACCTCGACGATCACGGGGGCCACCGTGGCGAAAAAGGTACCCGACACCATGCCCCCGATCGTTGCGAAGACCGAAACGACCGCCATATCCTGGGCGGGGATCCAGATCGCGAAGCAGAAACCCGCGCACACCAATGACAGCACCGACGCGACGTTCAGCCGGCCCCAGCGATCGCTCAGGAGCCCAATCAGCGGCCGCCCGACTCCCTGGCCCAGATTATGCAGCGCGCCGACCACACTGCTCTGGTGCGACGACAGCCCGATCGAGACGGCGAAGTTCGGCAGGCTGAAGTTGACCGCGACGAACCCGAGCGTGCTGAAGATCGCCCACCCCAGCAGCAGCACGAACTCCGCCCGCCGGAGCAAGGGGAACTGGAACGCCGTGTGCCGGCTCGCCGTCGCCTTGTGGCGGTCGCGCAGGAACGCCGCGCTCACCAGGTTCGCCGTGAGCGACACCAGCGCCAGCGTGCGGTACGTCCAACCCAGCCCGATGTTCTCGATCATCGACTGGATCGCCAGTGAGTAGATGATCCCGCCCGTCCCCGCTCCGGCGGCGGGGATTGCGTTTGCGATGCTGCGTTTGCGCTCAAACCACTGTGCCGGGATGCCCAGGTACGTCATATAGATGACGCCCATGCCGGTGCCGAAACAGACTCCCTGCGCCAGGAAGAGCTGCCAGATCTTCGTGGCGAAGGAGGCCGCAATCAAGCCTCCGCTCTGGATGATGATGCCCCCAATCAGGGTGGCATGGGTGCCGTGTGTGCGGATCAAGTAGACGGTAAATGGGGCCATCAGGTATGCGCAGCCAATCGATAAGCCGCCCACCATTGAATAGGCGAAGGCACTGGTCCCCGGAAATACATTGTTGGTCATATAGTGGGACAGAAAGATCCCATAGCTCTGAAACGAGGGTTAGTTCCTGACTGCAGCATAGAAGACTTATGACATTATCCATGGACTTACCCCATTGATACCCCACGTATTGACTTGCAGCCAGAACACACAAGCCACGACCACCCAGCCATATCCGCCATCGGGAGCTGGCTGTCCATGCTCAATGGTCATATCTTGCTTCACAGTCGACTCCTGGCTTTGGCGATCAGTATCTTCATATTGTGCATCATCCACCCTGCCCCCAATATGCTGCTTGACCTCCTTCTCCTGCATTGGATCCATTCTGGCGAAACACAGCACAAACTATCACGGAATTCCTGTCAGATGTACAGTACATCATGAAACTCCCGGAAAGAAAAACAGCGGCGCGGAGAATTAAATAGCACGAGCATCCGAAGCTCTTGTCAAAAGCTTGCTTCCAAGAGCAAAGGAAAGAAGAGAAAAAACACCGCCGACGACATTCTGCATCCAAAATTCTCCGCACCGAACACGCAGAACAACCTACTCCACAGGGCTGGAATGTGCCCGTTACCAAAGTTGGAAGAAGCCGCCCAGGAGGGAAGCTTCATAGCCAAACGTTCGGACCTCGGACGACATGATTCCTGATTTTGGGGATCCTCCAGATTGCAAGGGAGGTGTAGCGCTTGCGCAATGCGACGAAGGGGCCGAGGTTCTCAGGTGTCTATCTTGCCTCTTGTGGAATATCTCTGGTATGGAAGATGAAGAATGCTGCCATCTCCAGTGGTTGTTGCACATCATCGCCCGAACAGAGCGGTATCCCTTGCTTTCTGGAAGAGCTGATCAACAGAAGGATAAGTTGATCGGGTTCATGAAACGTTGTATGCTGCTATGAATCGGGTGAGGAGAATGGGATCTTGTGTGTTTGGGGATGAAAGCTGGGCCGGCACCTGATCTTCGACCCTTTGCTCCATGAACCATCCATCGTCCCCTGAGTGGGCGGAAAGCACAAGTGAGGCTCGCTTCAAGAGCGTACCTTTCTTTGCGCGCGTCCCATGACATCATAGTGCTGAATCTCCTACTGAGTAGCATGCAGATCTGTGTTGCCCGCCAGGAACACCTTCGCGACCGATTAAGGCATGGCCATTCGAGTCAACAGCCTGCTGCTGACGCAGAAGCCAAGTAGTCTGGTCGGAAAACAGCACCCCAACCCAGATGATGAATCTGATAAGACGACTAAGGCTTATCTCTGCAAAACCCCTCTAGAATGATGATGTCGATGGCGCGAGACAAGCTTCTGACAATGGTCGATAAGACCAGCTCAAAATAGAAGCTCATGGAACCGAACCATTCAGGCAAGCATGCGCGTGCCGCCGGAAGACAGACGTATGTCAACAGGTGGAAATATCCGATCAGACTCTTTTGACACGCGCAAGAACCAGCGCGTCATTGGCATTATGAGATCTACAACCCAGGTGGATGTGGCTGGTTGGCCTCTTCTGCCGCCTTTCTCGATCACCAGCAGGAAGGGCCCATGCCTGCCTGCCTTCAATTGCGATTCCGATTCAAGGTGAGACAAATGTATACACCATGCTCGTCTTGATCGTCCGATGTTCATGTAGGACCTGCCATTCTCCCTTCGGACTCTAGTCATAGATATCCCAGTTCAAGGCTACTGTTGACCCCGCAATGCTGGAAGACGCGCGTCCTTCCAACTTGAAAGTTGTAGAGTGTGAGCAAGAATCTAGGTGGTGATGCTAAGTGTGTTGTGCATAGCATTGGTGTCCCCACCAGCCTGCCTGAATTTAAAGCACAGTGGTTAGTCAGCCTCTGATCGATCTACGCGTACAAACAATCCAGGACCTGACACTCGCGTTGGTCCTTCGACTATTGGTTGAGCTTTGAATCAATTCAAGACTTTCGAGCGAAAATAGTATCGCAAATCTGAATGCGTGATCTATGGTAGGTTGGCAGGTGTGCTTCCACCTCAGGCCGAAAGAAACTGTCACAGTCCCAGATGAGCGTTTCAGAGTCAAACAAGCCTTGCTGGTACGTCATGAAAGCTGCTTCTACTTCAGCTATAACTAAGCAAGTGGAGGTCGAATGTTACCAAATTTGTCCGGTATGGCATGGCTCCCGGTCCAATGAGAGGCGAGACCTACGCGTCGAATAATTTGACAAATTGGCTTCAGGCACGAGACAGGTCATCCTCAGCTGGAAGTGCTCCCTCGGCCCGCAATTGGAGAGCAACGTCATCGACTTCCTTCCAAACTCGCAGCAAATTCCCTCCGGCTACCTTTCCTGCATCCTCATGGCTGACACCTCGCTTCAACAACTCCGCGATTAAGTCCGGATACTTGGACACATCCTCGAGACCCCGGGGAACGGTGGGAATCCCGTCAAAGTCGCTTCCTAGACCAACGTGATCGAAGCCAATCAGTTCGCCGATGTGCACAATGTGATCCACAACGTGCGCCAGGGTGGCAGTCTCGGGCTCAAAATGGGGCAGCCCGTTGGAATCTTCTGAGGCCGTGCACGAAACAAAATCCGGAGCGAAATTGACCATAACCAGTGACCTGCGCGCTCTGACCAGCTCCAAGATATCGTCAGGGACATTGCGAGGGTGAGGACAGACGGCATATGCGGAGCTGTGGCTGAAGATGACTGGCGCGCGGCTGCCGGACCAGTCATCCTTTCCGGCCCCTAAAACATCACGCATCGTGTCTGTGCTCACGTGAGACAAGTCGACAATCATGCCGAGTCGGTTCATCTCGTGCACGAGCGTTTTGCCCGCTTCGCTAACTCCGTGCCAGAGAGGATCCGCTTTCTTGATCCCACCAGCGATCTCAACGAGGGCCGCATCGGCATACCGGTTGTGGCAGTTATGGGTGAGTGTGGCATACGCAACACCACGCGCATGGAAGTCTCGCAATAGGGCCAGCGAGTTACCAATAGAATGTAGCCCTTCCATCCCAAGTGGCGAAATGATCTTCCCATCCCTGAAGGCTTGAAGAGCAGTCGTGCCGTTCGGAGGCGCAGAGAACGTCTCGGGGTAAGCTTGCTGTAGGCGCAGCATAACGTCTACCTGCTCAATTGTCTGGCGGACGCCTGACGGACGCAGTCAGTCACCTTCACCTGCAAGTAGAATCAGACCGGGCGACAACTCACTAGTCGCATAATTGGCGTCGGAGAAATCGGTCCAGTTGGCGGGACACTGGACGAAGACGCTCCAGAAAGTGCCACCGACCCTGCCTTTGGCTAGTCTGGGTAGATCTACATGGCCTACCAAATCGCCTTTGGTAAATGGAGTCTTGAACTCGTCGTCGTAGATGTGATTCTGAAATCTTTCTCGGATGAAAATTGGAAGGTCGTCATGGCCGTCTGTACGAGCACATGTCAGTTATCTACCAGAAACGGGTTGTTGAGAATAGTCTTACCTATGAGGGGTGTTTCTGTCAAGATACGTTCCACTCGCTGCTCGATGGAGAGTGGGAGACTGCATTTCCGAGCACCAATCGTACGGATGTTGCTCAATACAGCCAGAAGGCACGCAGCGATGAGAGTCAGGGCCAAGCGACTCTTGTTGCGTGCGTAGAAAGACCGGGTCTGTGTATGATGTGCGGCACCCGATAGATGCACACCCGATTCAGGATCAAGCTTGGTGTCCATTGTTGAAGGGTAGGAGGGTGGAATGATTGCCTTACAGCAGATCGCTCCGTTTCCACTCAGTATTTTGCGAGGAATTGAGGTAGGAGGTCACAAATGAGGAGGTGTTGCGGTGTTACTCAGTACGAAGAAGCAATGCGTTCCTGCATGCTTATCTTCAAGCACGGCACAGCTAAAAAAAAGACAATCGCTCGGTGACCTATGGAGACTGACCTGTGGAGACAGACAAGGAAACTTTTCTATACAGTTTGAAGGCAACAAGATTTTATCTGTAACCTTTGGAAGAAGAGAAAGGCAGTGTCATCACATCAGATCCAAAGGAATCGTCGCCATACTGCTCTCCATTTAATCTAGACGTTATCAGCGCCGAAAGGGAGATGGATGACAAATCACCGCGATTAACGTAATCGGTAAGCGAGCGGAACGCGCAAGCGAGTGGAACGCCCAACTCGTAATTCTGCTTTATATACAAATTTGAAGTCAAATATCAACCTTTTTACACCGTTCAAATTGCCTCTTCTTGGTGTTTTACTCTTGCTGGACACCATGTCCGTATATGACCAACTTTATTACACGAAGAACAGCGAGGTGGCGCGCGCCGGCGAGGCTGTTCCTCGCCGGCCGCAGAATCAGCCCGTTGGATTCCCAAGGCTTCATCTTCCTCACGAGCCCGGCGAAAAAGCTGTATAGCTTCATGAACTGTAGCTCCTTCGAGGCCTGCCAATTGGCGATTACTTCGTTTCCTCTTCTTAGTCTGGTGTTCGTCTGCAGCCCGTAAATCATGATTTTCCTGTTCAAGTAAGGCTGCCCTGTTTAACGCGATTTCGCAGCCTTTGATGATATATGATAATGCAGTTCTCATTGACTCCGGAGGACTTCGTGTACGTTCACGCAGTAATCCTCTCGATTGTAGTTTCATG